GCCATTTTACAGTATTTTTGCTTTTTGGAAATGTTCAATTGCTGTCATTTGCATTATTTATTGCCAATGAAGCCGCCAAGATCATATGAACTAGGAGGCTCCTAACAGTTCAAGAATAAAAGCCAACTTTACTTCATGTATTCCACTACACCTAACATTCCGTAGAGAGATTATATTGACAACTTTATGTTATTGATAAGGCCGAGACAACTAACTGACATCCCCCATGTCAAGGAATTCCAGCTTTATCAGTAACCTCACAGTCAATTTCTCAAAACTATGCTAGAGGGTTCATTCATTGGCACAGAAGTACGATATGAACTGACGCGACGTGACGAAGGAAAATCAAACTTACACTGTAACGGATATACTTCCCTTTGAAGTTAGAACGTGTCTTCTCAACAAACATATATTTTTTCTCAAACACTGGTGAAGTCGCGGAAGTGTTTAACTACAAGATCCACCAATACGATTTAAATACTATTTAAAGGTTCTACCAAAGGAAGAAATACCATACAACATACTAATAATAACTCCGATGACGTACAGGATAGAAAATATTTTAATCATTGAATGAACAACCAAATTTGGCAACTAACGCAATATTGTTATTGTTTTTACACTTACTCTTTGAACAATGTTAAATGCTCAAAAAATGTATATTTCACCCAATTCATCGCAGTTAGATGAATTAATGTAAGCCTTGAAAGTAACCGTCGATTTCGACGGGTTTCCCCTAGTCTGTTATAGTCATCGTAATTTCCGACACCTTGCACAGCTGATTTTATACGACCAAATTCTTAAGAGGCGGTCGGACAGAGATTCTCGGCTGCCGGCACTGGCCGTCACTTTAACATGGAGCGCATATAATAATTCCTCGTTTTCTGGTCTATCCGTGTTCCAAAAATTATTTCCCACACTCAAAACATTGTAAATGTATGTAGGATTAAGACTGTACAATATAAAAATCATAATGTTTAATTATAAGCCGAATATAAAATAAATCATTTCTTACATTTCCCATAAGGAATTGCAATACTTTCTGCTAAAATATAAAATGACTGGCACTATAAACAATTCTAGTTCAAACGCCATATTGAAGAGCATATATTCATTAGTGTATTGAGTGTGACAGATATTTATTTTTCGATGGTTAACATTAAGTTTTGTATTTTTTTGTAAAAGCTTGCAAAAAAGCCTTGCTTGCCGACTGAGTACTAGTTCGACGATGTCCCGGCGGATGGCAGCACAGTCGATTGTGGCCTACAGAGCACGTTTTCAAACCGCGCCAAATACAATTCATTTAAACTGGCCACAGATCCGTTTAAATAAATAAATAACGTTATGCCGTTACATCCCTGATGTATTATAATGCCAAGGAAATGATGATATTTAATTCACAGGAATCTAAGAATCTAATATTTTCGGACTGTGTATTTATGTATTAAAATATTACTGTTATCAGAGATAAAAGTTGTGCCAAAGGCATGGATTACATTAATATATTAAATGCCAGCTGGTTATAATTCATTTGTTATTGTTTTGAACTTATAATTGTTACTATGAAAATACAAAAACTGTGAACCAAACTCTCAACTTATTTCAGTTTCATCTAACTTTTAATCTTATAAAACTAACTAACTTTAAACTTGAACAACTAACTATTTGACAAAAGTAGTTCTTCAACACCCGGTTTGATACAAACTATTCATCAATATAAAACAAGTTCCGTTAGAATAAACGTCTCTTTTGGTCATACTTAGTACGTTGATTACGGACTTATCTGTGTAAAAATAGCTGCTGCAATACACAGTTTGACATAAACTATTTGCCAACAAGAAAACAAGGTCCAGTGGAACAAAAGCATTTCCTGATATACTGTACGTGGTATATCCGATTAAGGTCTTCCAGGAACCACAGCCACCCTCCGGACCAGCGCTGCGTCGTTGCCAAGCCGGCTTCCGACTCATGGATTATCTTGGAATTGCGATGTCCCGTTACAGGCCTAATATTCTGGGTAAAATAAAACCCCAAGTGGTCAGTTGTAGTGTGGTGTTCGATACAGTTACTAGTTCAGTGTTGTTCCCACCATGACAAAATCGCGACCGCCGCTATCGAAACGGAAGTCAAAACGAAGAATTTCAAGAGGATTGCAACGCTTCAATGAAAATAAAAGGTAAACATTAGTAGATTACATTCTTTCTGTTTTGTTATTAAAGATTAAACAATTTACGACAGGTGAGATAAATAAATTTTAATTGAGTTATAGAAGATAATTTATAACATAATTTTATGCAAATTACTTTTAGCGAATTTCCCTATAGGGAAGTAGCTATTACCGTAGGTCTCATGGTAAGACTTAGGCCCGGGACCGATTTACTTTTTCATTTTGATGTCCCCAGAGGCCAAAAACACCACTCGTTCAAATTTTTATATATGTATATATATATATATATATATATATGTGTGTGTGTGTGTGTGTGTGTGTGTGTCCGTGAACACGATAACTTGAATATTTTTTATCCGATTTTGATGAAATTTGGTTTGAAGGTGTAAGGCGGGATAAACTTGAATGAGTTCGCGATCCAGCATGATTGGACCATGGGAACAGGGTTTTATGGGGTAAAAATTGGTTTTTCTCACTTTTGACCCTCAAAACACAAAATTTCCCAATTTTTGTCTAAACCTTCTTAAAGAGCTTAAAAAAACAAACAATTCAGTATATCAAAGTGTTTTGTACGGTTATTGGTTACGGAGATAAAACTAAAAAAATGGTAAATTTAAAATTCCCATGTTATTCTTATGGAGAATATTGTAAAATGTTGTAGTTTGCTTGTTTATGGATATCTTTTGATCAAACTTGGCAAATATATTCATTTTATACTAAGCAATAATTATTTTACTCAAAACACAAACTTTATTAGTTTCCTTGTAGCAGCAAACCTAGGTACTCGTTAAACCTAATGTTATTAATAGAATTAAATAGATCAATTGAAAATCAATTCAGCCAAATGGAAATTCGCTTAGGCGTCAGGTTTGCTGCGGCGGGGGTATTTTTTATTTATGGTTTTATTTATGGTATTTTTAATTCATGTAAGTTTTAAAAAATGTATCAAATTTATTTTAACTTGATTTAATGTTTGCAGTTTGTGTACATATAAATACTTTTTTATCTAAATATGTAATGTACGACTCATTATGCGGTCTAACAAACTGTATTTCTATAAACACAACCAATATGTTGGTAAATAAAAAAAAATTGGATAATAATGTAGACTTATTCCACCCTTTGATGTACTTTTCCATAAACTTATCATCTGTTATGATGCTTATAAATTTCCATCAAGAACTGTGATTGAAAAATGTAATTTATTTGTATAAAAAAAGTATGGGATAGGCCTAGTATTTATATTATTGAGCTCAGTAGCTCTAGTATATTATTTATAATTGAATACGTTATCATGTATTATTTTAAATTAAAATTAAGTGTGTAAATCAAAATGTCTTACTGAAAGAGCTATTTGTATCAACAAAACAGTCTTTTTGAGTGTGGAAAATTAGCATATTGTGCATATTGCTGTGCATATTGGGTGACGAACTGAGACCTGCTGAGACGAAAAGGGTGGGTGAGCGAAGGTAGCGAGCAGTGAAAGTGAAACATGCGGTGGAACAAAAGACAAGGGCTAGAACACTGGCTGAGGGTAGTCGAGTTGATGCTTTCCAGTTTCTAGGTCACACAGGGTTGTCAACAATCTCAGATCCCGCCATGCGACAGCCACGAAACTGGTGGCCTAAGGTGGTACTATTACAACCATCTGTTTTGGGAGAACTGTGTTGTTGCTCGTAACGCCTGCAGAATGTGGGATACGGGGCTCTATCCGACCGCCTCTTAAAGACGGTGACAGATGATTGAAATACGTACCAGCATAGATAAAACATACGGTACCAGATTTTCACTGGTCAAATAATAATTTCCTAATTTAGATTAATGTTTACCTCACTGAGAATCCTCTATAAATCAATTAAGCTAATACTTTAATACTTTTCAATGAAATGGCGACCATACAAAGTAGGTATTTTAAGCCAAGTATGAATGGAGATGAGTGTAGGATCGAGTGGCGCGATCTTGTAGTCTTGTTAGTGACTAAGGCCGACATATTCCTTAGACACAGCTTGTTAATTAATAGCCCATACAGCTAATGGCAACTAAGGGACCTACAGTTTATAGTGGAATCCGAACCACATTTTTGCCTTTGGTATATAAGAATTGGTCTAATTATCAGGATAGTACTGCAGTACTCACCCGTGCGGATGTTAATCCACACAAGGGAGTATCGAATCCACAGTGCATGCCTATAAATATCCACAATTCGTAACCTCCTAGTAGCTGGAGGACGACGACGCCCGTCCCAGTCATGAGATCAAAACGGAAGTTGACACTATTTGTTGTACCATTGTATAAATGCATTTAAATCAAGAATATTTGAATTTAATTTAATTAAAAAAATTATCTGATAAAGGTGAAGTATTTAATAGGGTTAGTATTAAATTTTTATATTAACTTAAAGTCGGATATTTAAGTGGACTGCACTTTAGTTTACGTCCTACATTTACTCACATCAAGGCCGTGGGGCCTTGCTCACATACTGCAGTTTAGTTAAGATTAGGTTTAGTTTAGAACCGTTTAGAACAGTTTTATTTTATAATCAGTTGGTAGTTAATGTATAATGTATAATAGTAAATGTAGGACGTAAACTTAAGTGCAACCTTTAAGTGTCTTCCCTTATAAAGAAAATGTGTTCAATTTGTTATAAAAAGTAATTAATTAATAAGATTCATATTTTATTACATATACAAGTTACAAATCGCAAGTTCAAAGTTGTTTCCTCTTTGTCCTGTTTTCTACGGTTTTCTATCAAACGCAGCTGTCATATAGTTTGTTTACTACTGGCGCGCTGTCTACTGGGCCAGGCTTCAATCAGTTGTGCCGTGCGTGCCGAAGATGGCGACATGTGTGTGTTGTCAGTTATGATGGTGAAGTGGAAACTTAGAAGGTTTGTGATCTATTGAAATGTGTACAGTGTATAATGTCAGAACAAAGACGTGCTACATTAACACCGTTTGGAAAGAGTGATAAAAAATCCAGCAAGTCACCTCAAAAAACTGTTAGGTTAACCTTTACTTTATCTGATCCCAATGAAAATTCGTGTCCTGTGTTCGACTATGTTGCAGCTGTGAAGACGGAAGAGGTAAGTTATAACTGAAAATGGTAACGATTCTTGTTCAAACGCATGGATTTAGTAAACCTGATACTATATTTTAACTTGGCAATAGGTTGTCCTTCAGAACAATTCCTAACCCTAGTAAATATTGCTTTCCCTCAGAGGTTGTGATAGTCCCAGTTTCAGCAATCTTAACATTAACTTTTAGCTTTAGGAACAAGTGCTGCATGCCCCCCATTTACTGTAAAGTAATATGCTATTCTGTGTCGCCATATGCATGACTGTAATGCTATTTTAACAATAGTGGACGTGTCAAATGTCTAGATAGGCCAATTTTTAGGTTAGGTATTTTATCTTCTCAATTTCACAGAAACCCATTGCATTTTTATCCTTTCTACCACGTACAAGCCTAGTCATTGTGAATGTCGTGTCCTATATTGTATTTCGATCGATCTTTTTCTCCTGGAAGGGAGATTTAAGACAGTATTCCCAGGATTTGCCGCCTACCTCGTCCTGGGCGTTCCTCGCGCTATCCTTGTAAATTATTTCTATAATACATGACAATAGCGATAAAGGCTAGTTTTCTAGTCAATATTGGTTGAAACCTAATGTTTTTGTTCCGTATTAGCCTTCGTGTTAACTGTCATTAACCCCAAATCACAAAGTTAACGTAAATGTCTGGTTTATACAGACTCCTCTCTACTGAGCAAACCCACATCATTTAAAATTTTTAACGTTGATAAATCAGATTATTTCCGTGGTGTGTTTTAATATTATCGTTTCCACATATGCATAATTATTATCGTTTAAGTAGTTTAATTACTTTTTTATACAAGCTGTTACCGCCAGAGCGCCTTTATGATCACCATTTTCATAGTTTTGTCCTAACTTATGTTCTATTTGTCTCAAATAACATATCTATGTAGGGTTTCAAGGAATTTTGTCGAAATAAATTAATTACCCCTCCCCCCTCCCCCACATTGACAATAAATTACCTTTCACTTGCCTCTGTGGCACTGGCACTACAGTGACTCTTCAAAGAGTTGAAGAGTTTTAAACTGTTTGATTGTAGAATCATGCGAGTTTAGCATGATTTAATTAATTGTATTAATTTATTATATTGAAATTGATTAATAATGCGTAATCAATTTAATTTGGATTTTTGTAAACCTTATCTTTGCTGATGTAGGCTATTTGGTTTGCACGATATAAACAAATTGAAATCAATTGAATAAGACGTATATTTATAACTATTGTCACTACCTTGTTACTATCTGTATAACAATTATATTGTTATTGTTGCCTTTATTCACTATTTATATGAATTCAATCAATTTTAATTAGTACAATAGGTACTCATCAATAATGTAATTTTGTTATATTTCCCAAACAATTTTTAGTCGTTACGATTATTGTATCTTTAACGACTCGGTTATTTTTAGATTTTAACAATAGTAATTACCCGAGTAATTAATTAAACTAATTACTACGTTCACTTTTAAGCTACGCGCCCGTTTTCCTTTTTCACGCGTGACTCGCGTAGTACAACTTCAGATGTGTACGTGATTTCAGATGTGTCTCAAATGCATACCTGAAGTTTTTTATTACTTGCGTATTGTGTGAAAATGAAACTTGCATTTTTATTACAAGGGTTTTTTATAAGTAGGGAGGGTAAGTGAAGTGGAGGGGGTATTAGATATGAGGGGGAGGGTTTATTGTACCTTGGTCCCGTGGTGTCGCCGAGTTGGAGAGAGATAATAAATGATTGAAGCGAGGGTCTGGCGGCTGACATTTCGTTTGGACTTTGAGGTTGGAATAGCGCGAGCAGACATGATGGAAATATAGCGACCATCTTTGTTTCGTACGTAACAATCGCTAGCGTTCGTACATCGCCATTTCATCTAACCTCAAATGTTGTCTGCATAATGTAAATAAACAAAGTGAGATGCATTGACGTGCTGAAATGTAAACGTGTTAAATTACGCGTAGCTTATTGTTTGAGGCTAAAAAATAAGAAATAAGATGAGAAAGTTTAAATTGGTAGTTTTAATGGAGGAGTTTAATATAAAAATGAAAACTCCTTAATGCAGAGATTTATTAAGTGAGTTAATAAAATGGTAGTTCACATTTTTTTAGTAAAAAAATTTGCCCATTAACTTGTATATAGGTTAACTTAATATATTTTATTGGAAAATTTGTTCTAATGGGTAAAATAACTTAAGTTAGGCTAATTGCTAACTTATTAGAACGTTTTAATTTATAAGTTAAGTTAGGTAAGTAATTTGATTTTATACTTTGGTATAATTTTATTTTAATAATTTAACTTAAGTTTTATTATTTTAATTACCTAATAACTAAAGGCAAGTAATTATAGGTCTAAAATTTCGATATCTTAATTTTAAAAGTAAAATATTAAATTATTTCAGTTATCAAGTTTAATTAAACTTAACTTAAGTTGTTGTTGCACATTTTTGTAAACATTGTGCCTAAACTTAAATTTAGTGCTTCAACAAAATTTACAAAACTGCATTAAGTTAATAAGTTTTAACCAACTAAATCAATCACTAACTTAAGTTAATTACCTTATGTATCCAATCAGATTAAATATTATTAACTTATTTTGATTATAATTTGATTCGATTTAAAACAAATCAAATAATTTTACTGTGCCAAAGTAACAATAAGTTAATAAGTTTAGGCCTACAATTTGCATTAACTTAGCTACCGTCACAACAGTACAAAAATACTAGCTTAAGTTATACCTCCTAAGCCTAATAACAATTAAGTTACATACATAGCCTATTAACCTATTAAAGTTTTCAAAACATTTGAGGAATTCTTGGATGCTGTACTTAAGTTTAACAGGTTATAAATACTAAACTTAGCAATTCATGTTTTAACTGCTTTTTTTAATTTTGAAAGGCTTGGTTCAAACTTAAGGGGTAAGGGAAGTGAGTTTAAAAGCTTTATGCCAATGTACGATGTGTGTTTTTTGAAAAAAAGAAGTTTCATGTTTAAGAATTGACAAATTAAGTTAATTGCACAATGTGTATTGATTTTTAGTAGGCCTAGAGAAGTCAAAATCAGAAAAGTTTTGTTTTAAAAAGCAAAGATTCTAGAATGTAGGTGGAGGGAAAAATATAGCCTAACTTAGGAAGGAGGAAAAATAACTTTATCACATTAAATTTAATTTTACCATAACTTAGACCTAGGATAAAACAATAAAAACATTTATAAAGTAGTTTCTTTATTTTATCCCTAACTTAACTAACTTATCCCTAACTTAGTTTTAAATTTGTGCTAAGTTACTGAAAATGGAAGAAACTTAAAAAATTTTCTAACCGTTAGGCTATTAGTTTTAGTTAAGCCTATTGTTTGTTTTGATAACTTTTTTCAAAAATATATTTTAGTTTTTGGTTGAATAAGCTTATTACAGTTTCATTTATTAAACGTCAATAGAAACATAAATAGATCATAACTCTATTTGATGTTTACGGAGTATGCCTAACTGTAAGTTACCCGCCTACGAATGAATGTAGAGGCTTAAAGCGACTTTTCCAACTGCCTAGCGTTCAAACAGGCTGAGGATGGTTAGGCCTACTTTTTAAGCTAGGACTCTGATTTATCTTACTAATATTATAAATGTGAAAGTTTGTGTGTTTGTTTGAAGTTCAATTACGCATAAACCACTGGACGGATTGGGCTGAAATTTGGCATGATGGTAGCTTACATTCCCGATTAACATATAGGCATACTCTTATCTCAAAAATCCTTTCGGGCTCCGCCCCAGTAATTCCCCATGTTAACCGAGTATTCATATTTAAAGGGAAAGAATTTAGTCAGCTGTTTCAACTAAAAAAGTTGGTTCTACTTCTATGATATGGAAAAGAATTAAAAAGTTATAAATTTGATTTACCAACAGGGTGCAGCACTATATTTTTTTTACATTTATGAAAACAGCTAATTTGAACTAAGCAGCAACAAAAAACTGTGATTCACAATGAGAACTGTCAAAGTAGGATTGTTTACAGTTATGTTTATGTTTTTCATTTCATGAATAATTTGTGATATTTTGTGAATTGTTGATAATTTATTTTTCTCTATTGTTTAGGTGAAGTGGTAGAACATTATGGCTATGGTAGATGTAATACTATAGAATACTGTAAATTTATAATAAAATTTTACTTTTAAAGGCAATAAGTTAAATAATTCAATACTAAGATTAAGTTAAAAGGCCTATGGAGTACTATGTAAAAAATATTCGAGACCTCCATTTCATTAAGCTACAAAGTGAAAAAACTAACTTACAAAGAATAAAAGTTAGAAGCACTGTCGGTCCCAAAAAATCTGCAAACTGTTAAAATTAGCATATAGAGCCAAATTTAATGACCTATAAATCTTTTCAAAAATATTGACATCGAATTTGGCTCAAGTATTTTATACAACTTTATCATAGACCAAAATTATCTGACGGAGAAATACTATGCTTTCTCAAAGACCAGCTGGTTTAAATTTACTGGAGCCTTTGCCTAGGCTATTAATTGGGCACTGAATATTTTTGTGGACAGTTAACTTACAGGTATATCCAATCAAAGTTAATCCTTGGTCGATGAAATTACTGTAGCCAACAAGTACCAAAAACATTTCAAATAGCTATAATTTGTGAAGGAAATTTTTTTGACTTTCACTATGGCTTTAAAATGCAAAAAATTATTGATTGGGATGTCTATTTAAACAACTCTTTGATTTAACTTTCAAAATTGTCTCTGTGTGAAATTTAAGTAGGTAACTTGGATGTTTTAAGAATATCTGTAGGATTATAAGCAATATAGGCCTAAGTTAGATAATGGCAGTTTATTTTTGTGATTTCAGCGGAAGAAATTAAAGAAGCATAGAGAAGAAAAGGATAAAAAACCCAATGGATGTCTCGATCCTTTTGAAGATAACGACGAAGACGTCAAACGTATTGCCCGACAATTTGAGGCCAAATATGTAAGTTTAGACTTAGAAGTTATGCAATTGAATATTTACAAAAGGAATACATTAGGCCTAATCTTAGTTACAAAAAATACCCAAACTGTTATCGTTACCAGCACCAGCAGAGCCACCAACTAACCAGTTTTTATTTTTTTATTTTCTTTAGTCTGTTTTTATTTTTGGGTGTGAACAACTTGATAAATAAGTCTTACCTTCCATGTTTGGATAACTAACTAACAGTCTTAATTGTCAACAAGAGAAACATAGGTACCTAAGGTAAAGAGTTCCTACATCATGTAGCCTACTAGATATTGGATATTCATCCAACTAGAGATGGGAATTACCCATTACTTTTGAGAAACGTGTTACACCGTTCCATTACAACTTGGTAACAGGTTACAGTAACCTGTTAATTTTGTAACCTGTTACAGGTCCGTTCCTCCACCGTGACATCCAGGTGACATCCCAGCCCCAGCTTGGCGGGCATGTAACGAAATTCTCGCTGGGTGTTATTGCTCTACCCTGTTACTGGCCGTATGTTCGTTCTGGCTCGGCTGGGCTGTAACGTTATTATTCCAGCTTGGCGTTACTCTCTGCGGGTGGTTTATTCGTTCCAGTTTGGCCGTAATGTAACAAAATTCTCGCTGGGTGTTATTGCTCTACCATGTTACTGGCCGTGTTCGTTCTTTTCGGCCCGGATATACTGTAACTTAATTCTAGCATGGGTGTTACCTAGCTGGACGTTACGTTCCAGTTTTTCCATAATTATTGTTGGTGTTAATGTTGCCACACTATGTACAGTTCTCATGTACGTTAAACTCCAGCTGGAATGGAACGTTTTCTCACATTTTATTATTTTAAATAACTTTTGTTGACTTTTTGTTGCTTTCAGGACTTTGATCCTGACGGAACCGGTACAGGAGATCAATTCATAAGCCAATGAGCGCAGCGTTACAAAAATAACAGGGTTTTTCCGAGTAACGTGTTATCTTGATAACAGGTTACAATTTATCAACAATGTTATTTACCCTGTTACGTTAAATAACACCCATCTCTACATCCAACCAAATATAACTTTTTTCAGTGTTGTGGTTAAATTTTTAATTTCTCACTGGTGTGTATTTTTATTCCAGGGCGATAGGAAGAAGCTCAAATCTTACGCAGAACTCGGAGCCGGCTACGATGAAACTGATCCGTTCATCGATAACACGGATGCTGTAAGTATTGACACAAAGATAAAAACAGAGATATATCAGCTTTTTAAAAATTAAGTTGATTTTTGTCACGTATATTTACCGTTACATCTACTAATTTGATAAGTTTGTGTTTAGTGTCTCCACAGTATTTGCGGTAAAGGGAACTGGTTCGATCCTAGCTATATTCACAAAAGTTCGGCAAACTGTAGATTTGGTTGTACAAAGTGTAACAAAAATATTTCTAACTTAGTATTTCCTCACCACTACAAATTCGGAGGTTGCTTAGCTTTTTTGCAAATAACTTTTAAATGGTAAGGAAATTGACCATAGTGGAAATTGATATTCTGAAAGAGAATTAAATTTTCTAGTAAATAACTATCAAGCATTTCTTGAAAATACTCAATAAAGGCAGGCAAAAGTTGCTTCCAAATAAAAAATGTGTAAACCCCTATTTTCAATGTACTTATTTTTTTATTTTTACCATACTAAAGTCATTCAAAACTAACTTTCATAATAATTTGAATCTACACAAAATATTTAAGCTTTCCAACTACCCATTTATTATTAAAATTGGTGCAATAGAACTGTAGATTTGGTTGTACAAAGATTTTTAAAACTGAGTTGTTATTTAAGTAGATGATCCTCAGTATAATAGTAATTAAGTAATTTAACAAAGTTGTATAATTTCATAATACTCGCAGTAAACAATATTACATTCAGAAAGATAGTTTATTTCACTTGCTCAAACGGTTCAGACGGTGTTACAAAAATAATAGGGTATTCTCAATAACCTATTACCTTGGTAATAGGTGACACTTTTGTAACACTATTAATTATCCTCTTAAACAACGCTTATCCATGTTGCAGTACGACGAGACACTTCAGGAGGATCAGGAGACGGCATGGGGAGGCTACTACATCAACAGCGGACCTCTGGAACTCAAGAGGGTGGAAGTGTCGGACCAATCGGACGCGGACGAGGTTAAGAAACGAGGGCGAAAGGTAACGGAAAGTTATTCAATGATTACAGATTAGAGTTCTATTCCAAAAACACACAGTGTTGAAGCACGAGTATGAGTGAGAGATCAATGTTTTGCAGATTTAATCGTAATTCATCCCAATTATACAAGTTTTGCATTGATTCATCAGTAAATTTACCAACTTTTCAGAGATCGCTTCCGGTGATAGACGAAGAAGAAGACGAAGAGGAGGAGGACGATGAAGAGGACAAAGAGTGTGAAGAAGAAGAAGCAGAAAAGGAAGCCGATGAAAATGGGGAGGTAGAGGAGGCTAAACCAGTTTTTGAAAATGGTCCTCCAGAACCGAAGGTAAACCAAATGGCAAATTATCCAGTGCTTAAATAATACGAGTTTTGATAAAGGATTATATCGAGTTAAATAATGGCCGTGATTATAAGGGTTGGCAACCTTTCATTCTACAGGGTTCAAGCTGTAGTATCATTTTGTTGTAGACCAAAACTTCGACAATTATTAGGTAAGCTCTCATTGGCAAAAGGTATCGTCTGTAAAACATGGAATGATGGAATACAAATTCACTTTTGCAGTCACAGGAGATTAAGACTTGTTACTTGTTAATCCATTTTTTGTAATTAGGTGTCGGAGATCCCTTCGGCAAAAACCTCATCAAACAAACCAAACAAGCAATAGTACTCTACTAACCTAAGAAAAAGTTGCCATTTAATGTGATTACAATACTAGTAGTTATCCTTGAAATAGAGATTAACCAATTTTGATTCTTGACTCCTAAAAACTTTTGACAACGGTGATATCGAGCAATGGCGACGTACAATAGTCAAGGACTTTAGTTTCAATTATAATTAACTGATTTATGCTATGTTATTGTTTTAAAAACATTTGGCATTGATTTTTCAGAAAACAAAACTTGAAGAGGAGAGGCCTGAGCTTGAAAAGCCGCCTACTCCAAGCTACAACGGAGTGAGCGAACACCTCTCTGTGAAGAAGAAAAAGAAAAAGAGAATGGTCATCGAAGATGACACTGATGAGACTGGTAGCAAAAATAAAAAAGCCAAAACCGTAAAAGCTCTTCTGGAAGAGAAAAGGATACAAGAGCAACCAGTGAAAGCCCAAGGTAAAATTTTAATTGGTAATGGTCTTGCGAATTAATTTGTTTATGAATTATACTGTTGTTTTAAATAAGTTCTTTTAACCCTCAAGCAGGTTCTTGTGGAGTTTTCCTCCTTGCAGTTTTTGTTCAAATAAAATATGCATAATGGGTGTCGACAGTCGTGTCCGGCTCCATACTTCACGCACCTCATCCCAGGAATGCCCCTGAGCAATATTAACCTCCCAATTCCTCCTTATCTTGTTGTCAGTTGCAATTTTTTGTACCCATTAAAAACAATTTTCAGAAGAACCAAAGAGGCAGGTGGCAAGCGAGACCAGTATAGCCGAAGCAATTGAATCTGTCGTCAATGCTGGACACAATCACGACGAGAATTCCAACAGCTCAACCAGCTCACATTCTGGTAAGTCGTTGAATCTTAAACTCTTCGTTGGTGGTTGACTGACCTTCCCTCACTTACCAAGCTCGGGTTGAAAACAGTCACTTTGGGTTCTAATTCTACCCACTTGTGATGGTCTTATTTTAGTCAACATTGTCAGCTATTGTTTTTCTTGATTTTGCCGTCTTGTGTTTTATCTTGAAATGTAAAGCGTATTATTTTTGTTTGATTACTATACAGTTCTCGGTTTTGTTTTTTTATTGCGAGTATCCAGCAACTGGGTTTTGTTACTCTCTCTGCTGAGGACAAGACCAGATTTGTGAACATAGTGAAAACTTCTGGTCAAGAGATAGGACATTTTAGCAAAAATCACGTAACCATTTTACTTGCACGTAGTATTGTATGTACATAATTAATTATAGTTTACTGGCATAATATATGGTATCTACTGCATCTATGAATAACATTGTTTTACCATGATGTAATGTTCCAGCCCCAACAGGCTCATCGTCTGCGTCGGAAGACAGTCAAGACGGCAAGCCGAGCGCCTCACCCCCTCCACTACCTGAGAATCTGTTACCTGAGATAACAACGTTGGTGGAACAGATCAAGCAGACCGCTTCCACCACGGACAACACTCGGAAAACATTCCATCCAGACATCAACACATGTTTGATTAGGTTAGTCAAGTACAGATTTGATGCTAAAGATTCGCCTTGTTGAGTTGATAAGGTTGGATTTTGATTGTAATTTAGAAATAAGTAGTAAGAGTTGGTTAAGAGTCCAGGATTTAAATAGGAGAAGGGGTGGAGGTAATAGACTTTTAAATATAGATTATTAAAATAAGGATTAAAAATGCAATTTCACATTTGAGAGAAATTTGAGCGAATTCTTAGATGTAGAGAAGTCAAACAGAAGTTGAGAAGTGAAAGCAGACAAATTTAGAGAGGAGTAGGAGTAGATTCTGATATAAAGAGATATTCTGGGATTTAGAAAGAAGTAGTGGTAGATTCTGAGATAAAGATTCTGGGATTTAGAGAGAAGTAGGGGTAGATTCTGAGATATAGAGATCAATATTCTGGGATTTAGAGAGAAGTAGGGGTAGATTCTGAGACTCGCCTTTGGCTCGCTGGGGGCTCCGCCCCCAGGCCCCCTTTTTTGGTAGGGGGTTAATAGAAATGGGCCATGGCGCAAGACCTGCAATTGAGCCAAATTTCAGATCTTTAGCTATTTTAGAAGTGGGTAAAATTGATTTAGACCGATGGACCTGTAGAAATAACATTGGGGGGGGGGGATTCTATATTTCGTGGGGGAGGGAGTTATATTTGTAAAATGTCACTTTTCGGAAAGGGCGCAAGATCTACAATCATTCAAAATTTCAGATATCCAGTTAATCTAGAAATGTGTAAACGTGATTTAGACTTATGCACCTGTAAGAATAACATTGGGGGGATTTAATATTTGGGGGGGGGGGGGTTGTAAATACGATAGGGGGATAAAACCTTAAGTAAACCAGAGTAAATCTATAGCATGAACGGACCATGGGAACGGGGACTTATGGTGGTTTTTATGGGGTAAATGTTTTCTCCATAAGAATAACACGGGGCTCGTAAAAACTTTCAAATGTTGACATTAAACCTAAGTTTTGGGGGTTAAGGAGTTAAGTTACGAAAAAACACGTACCGTGTAAAATTTAAACTAAAGTAAGGAGAATACAAAGCAATAATAATATTTGCAAAAAGGAATGATTTAAGTATGAAAAAATAGCAAAAACCGGTAAAAAGTTGAAAGAAATTTACCAAATTTTGAAAGTAGGGAGTTTTTTGAACCCGAAAGAGTGTGATTTTCGGAAAACACCCATGAGGGTTTTGTAGAAAATTTAATTCCTGTTCCTGGATATACTTTCAAATCTTTTCTAGCTCTTACTGTTTTCGAGCTAAATCCGTTTGAAAAAAAAACGTGTTTTATCGTTTTCAGAGGTCCGCCATTTTGGATTTTTGGGGGGGTTAAAATTTGAAAATGGGACTTTTGAAAATTTCACCATTAGCTTATGATCCCTTACTACAATACCACCAAATTACAAGTCTCTAGCACATTTCTAAACGATTCATATGACCATACCAAAATCATTATATTTCAATCTTATTCTCCATAAGAATAACACGGGGCTCGTAAAAGTGGCAAAAAACCTTCAAATTTTGAGATTAAAATTAAGTTTTGGGGGTCAAGGAGTAAAGTGACGAAAAAACATGTAATGAGTAAAATTTAAAGTAAAGTAAGGAGAATACAAAGCAATAATAGTTTTAGAAAAAAAAAATTATTTAAGTATGAAAACATGGCGAAAACCGGTAAAAATGTAATAAAAATTTACCAAATTTTGAAAGTAGGGCGTTTTTTTGAAGCTGAAGGAGTGCGATTTTTGGAAAACGCTTATGAGGGTTTTGTATAAAATTTAATTCCTGTTCCTGGATATACTTTCAAATCTTTTCTAGCTCTTACCGTTTTCGAGCTATATCCCTTTGAAAAAAACGTGTTTTTTCGTTTTCAGAGGCCCGCCATTTTGGATTTTTGGGGTGGTTAAAATTTGAAAATGGGACTTTTGCAAATTCCACCGGTATTGTAAGACCTCACACTACAATACTACGCAAATTTGAAGTCTCTACCACGTTTCTAAGTTGTTCAGATGAGCTTACCAAAATCGGCAATTCTCAATGCTATTTCCCATAAGAATAACATGGGGGGGAAATTCGAAATTACGGGGGGGTTAAAATTTAAAAATGTTACTTTTTGGAATTTTATGGGTGGTTTGTGCACTAGACCTACAACCACCGAAAATTTCTAGCTCATCTAGAAGTGGTCTAGAATTTGTATACCTGAGTGAGTAACAATTGCGGCTGTATAGTATTTAGATATAGAGATAAATATTCTGGGATTTAGAGAGGAGAAGGGGTAGATTCTGAGATATAGTTACAAAGATTCTGAGATTTAGAGAAAAGTAGGGGTAGATTCTGAGATATAGATAAATATTCTGAGATTTAGAGAGGATTAGGCAAAGATTCAGAAATCTAGTTGTACAACCCAAAGTAGGTTTATGCTTTCAAATCTAGATACAAGTTGACTACGGAGTAGACTCCCAGATTTACAGAGAAGTAATAGAATTTCAGATGTTTTGTTGAACACTCACAACGGCTTCAGTTCGAGCAATCTCTGCTACACAAACTTTTTTTTCTTGCTTTCTACTAGCCATTAAAACAAGTCTGCCGCAGCTTAAAAGTAGTCAAGACTAATTAAAACCACATCAAAACAAACTTCTCTTTTCATGGTTTGAATTAACAGCTGTGTTGAGGCAAACAGAAAATAGAAATTACACCAGTTTAGTTTTGCACCATTGTTTTCACAAATTTTGTTAGCCTAAAATATAAAATAGTTACTAGTTTTTCTTACTGTTTATACTTTACAAAACCTTCTACTATTTTAACCTTAAATACCTCAGGTTGGAGTGGAAGACGAGAGAGTTCTCTGCGGCAAATCGCAACATGTTGTTCGCTCATCTCGCTCACCACATGCCGTGTACGAAGGACACTCTGATGAGACGGGCCAAGAAACTCTTCTTGGATAGAGAGGAAAGTCAAATAGACAACATCGTCTGCAAGTAAGTGTTGAAACATTCTCCTCGAGATTTGGTATGATCTGAAAATTTGATGCAGCCGCCCTTGAAGCATTGGCTTATAAGATGTTCCAACAGGGATCTTACCTTTGTTGGTACCTCGTATTATTAAATATTTGCTACTTTTAACATTGCTACAAATCATGATTTTTGTATTTTTAGGCTAAAAGCAACCATAGACGCCACCATGCCCACTATCCTTGAAAAGTACCAGAAAGACTGTCAGAAAATCGCAGAGGAAAAGTAAGTTTTAGAAATATTTTTTATAATTGTAAGTACAGCGCTGCGATTGGCATTTTGGACATTTGCGCTGTGTATGTGCATCTATTGGCAAGCCTGCACCAGAAATTCGGCAGAAATCGGCCGTGTTTAAATCCGGTTTCGAGCATTCAAAATGGTGCCGCCAATTGAGATTGCTGCCGACTGTGAAGTGCGTGTTGTAATTAGATTTTTAACTGCTAAAGGTGTGAAAGCCATTCAAATTCATCGAAAGATTAGTGAAGTGTATGGCAAGAACATTTTGAGTGACAGAATGGTACACAAGTGGGTAAGGGCATTTAAAGATGGTCCCACTGACGTTCATGATGAGCAACGCACTGGGTGGCGTCATTACTGTCACCAGTACCCAGTGCGTTGCTCATCATGAACGTCAGTGGGACCATCTTTAAATGCGTCACTAACGTAATAGGAATAGAAAAATGATCAAAAGTTGAAGTTTACAATTTAAATGTTTGTTAGTGTTCTATTTAAAACAATATTTAATGTCGCGTTTTCTCTTTTTATACATTCTGGTTTACATAACAAGCATATTTTCGATTGATTTTTTACCGTGCTGTAAAATCTTAAAGTTACAGAAGTCTTAAACATTTTTTTTTTCAAAATTTGTTCAAAATTAAAAGACAATGAGTAGAAACATATCCAAGTGTTTTTTATCAGATATATATTTATTACTTTCTTCCTGCTTGTCTATTATATTTGTAGCTGTCTTCTGGGTGTGGGTGTGAAGTATTAGTCTTTCTTGCTTATAACTGTGGTGTTTGTTTTTGTGTTGGTTAGCCCACATTTATATTGGGAGTTACAAAAGTCATATTGGTAAGGCTGACAAATAGATTTAGAAATAAAAATATTTGAATATTTTTATTACTGTCTGAGTTCAATGTTTTGTTCATTAATTGAAAGATTGACAATGCATTCCTTCACCTTTTGTAGGATTTAAAATGTATAACTGGATCAGATTTTGTTATAAATTGGATTTAGAAATAGTTGTTGGTTATAGAATAAAAAAAGAAACTATTCTTTGTTGAATAATTTAATGAAATTATAATCTTTTGTAAAAGTTATCAGAAGTAATGGAATGTTATGTTATTTAAAAGTTCAGTAGTAGTTTATTGTTCCACAAAATAAAATAACTTTGGAAGACTCTATTATTTACAAAGGAGCTAGTAGCTCTGAAAATTCTAGTTTTTAGTGTTTTTTTTTTTGCATTTTCATACATTTCTGTTAGTAGCTTAAGGTAAGATTAACATCCAGGGCCGCCCCAAGGGTAATAGACGCCCAGGGCGAGATTTAATTTTTCACCCCCTCCCCAAAAAGGTATATGGGGAGTTTGCGTCAATAGACCCAACGTCAAGTATATAGGTATCGAACGTTTTGCAAGTATTTTTTATAAACGTAACAACTACACTGAACTAAATTACTAAAAACATTGAATTTACGACTGAAAACGATCATCACGAAACGACCACGAGTTGAGTTTGAGGTTAGAAACAAGCAAGTATAATTGGGGAGTGTGGGCGAATACGCAGTATGTGTGTCTCGGACTCGCAGTATTGCCAACAAGTCACATGCTAGACGTAAAAGTAGTAATAGTATGAGTTGTATTTTAAATAACGGTATTTATTTTATGAATAAAACTAAAGCTATAAATTGCCTTTTTTAGAATAGTCATTGTCATTGATTACATGTACACGAGTTTCCCGTAAAATATTTGCTTGCAGTTAGCCGATAACGTTGTTAAATTTTTTACCTTCCAAAGAGTAAAAAAAGTTCCTCGGGGCGGCCCTGTAGACATCAAACCTATTCATTGCTGTATATATTTGATTATACATATTTTAAAACAAGTGCTTTAAGTTGATTTTTACATTTTCCAGGGGTATTCCTGCAAACGATAATACACCTGGAGGAGATAACCAAACTCCAAGCCCCGGTGATGCCAAAATGCCCAAGAGAAAATTCCCTTGGACTGACGAAACGAGGTGAAAAATTCAGCCCGTCTTTTAAAAATAAAATCTAAACAGAAAGGATTGTAAAGATTACTATCCTATAATTTAATGTACTAACTAAGGGTCTGCTGGCCAGCTTTTTTTACTTCAATAAAAAATTATATCAGTTCAAAGTAAGGTTGCTTTGGAAAGTTATATTTAAAAAATATTAATTTTTACACTATTGGTTAACATGTGGAACATAATATTCTACGATAAAGGTGGAATCATGAAGAATTAATTTAAATTTACAAACTAAATTCTCGTTGAATACATACCTGATTGGCTTCATTAATTTTAACAGGATTTTCATCTTCTTTGTTGTTTTGTATAATAGTAACTTTTACTTAATGTCAGTAGTAATAATTTAGAGTTATGTGAATTTATAAGTTATAGTATTTTTTTTATGACGACACCCCTATCCTTGTACGTTGAACTTTTTTAAGGTGTTATGAGTGAATAAAGAATTTTAATTTTAATTTTCAATCATGAATTTTTAACTGGACAATCTTCACAGAAGCTTCTGTAATCACGATGACATCGCTCTAAAATCAAGCCACTCGTGCATCTTAAATGCACTCGTGAGCTTGGTCCAATCTGATACTCTGTAGTCTGTACCAACTGTTGAAAATTTTCACAATAATTTTAAAATTGTAGTTTAAAACAAAATCTCAAATAAATATCCTAATAATTTCACTGTTTTGCAGAGGTTATCTTCTCAGCATCATCAAATGTAAGCAGAGGTGTTATAAGGTTTGCAAACCGAGGAAGAGCACCTGGGAAGATTATCTGAAGACATTCCTCCACTCTGCGATACGACCGCTGTGGCCGCCCGGCTGGATGAAAACCTCCGCATTGAACAAGGAGTTCTCTCGTTCACCCAGGTATGTGGACAAGAATCCTTCCTCACCACTCTCGATTTGTTTATCACATTTTAATTTTTTTTTAATCTACGTACTTTAAAAGGGGTAGTGAAGGAAGTTGTCTCTCACTATCCTCCCTCGCACCATTAATTAAATTAATCTACACTTGTGCTCTTAGTAGTGATGGGCGATACGGACGCGTATCGCGATACAGCGATACGATACGTATCAGAAAAAAATATCGTATCGCCGTATTGAATCGGGCGTCTGTGTCGCGATACGCGAATCGTATCGTCAAAAATATCGAAAATCGTTTCCCCCCTCCCCTACCTAACCTAGAAACGGCAAATTTATATTAATATATTAATATATTATTATAATTAAGTACCTGGGGACCAAGCTTTGCTCGAGGAAAATCATTAGTTTACTCTGAAAACAGTCTTAGTATTGCAGATACATTAATCCATTTCCACACTCCACACTGCTCGCCTTTACTACTTCCTTCACAACTCCCTACGTCTTGGACCTGTTTCCCTATCCTTCCGATAGCATTTTAGGATTGCAGATACATTAATGTAATTGCCACAGACAGTTCCCACACTCTGCACTACTAGTGCTAGATAGCACGTTAGTGGAAATGGACTGGACTGGGATGGGGCTGGTACATTATCAAGTAAAAACCAAAAATACAGACGTCAAAAACTCCTATTTCAAACTACACATCCACAGAGTACAGAAATACAGATTTTGCAGTTTGCTCGGCCTGCGGGGGCCTGCGCAAAAAAAGCTTAAAAATATCGTTTTGACATGAATCGTATCGCTCTATGTGCCGATATAAATACAAATATCGTTTTAGGCAATACGATACTTATCGTTTTTTAAATATCGTATCGAAATATCGTATCGTCCCTCGCGTATCGCGATATTCCGATACGATACAATACGTATCGCACATCACTAGCTCTTAGCCAGATTCCCCTCAGAGGATAGCTGTTACCGTAGATTTCATGGTAAGATCTAAGTCCAAGAATTTACTTTACAGATTCCCTTATAAGAAACTAGCTATACTACGGACACAATATTTATGCGTTTGAAGGGAACTTCCCCCACCTGGTTTTCTGCTTAATGTTTGTTACATCTGATTGACGTTTGGACAAATCTCAGCTGTTGAGCTATGTTTTAATGGTACGATTAAGACGTGGGGGGGATAGATTTCTTCCTTTAAAACCGCCTAAATTTTGTGAACAGAGTATAATACTGTTGTGTTCATTGTGAGATGTTAGTCCGATAATACTTGTACTTTTAAGGTCCTGCAAGCCAAAAAACATTAGCCTTTCAAAGTCTCATGCAAGATGTGCAATAATTAACAGATTTTGATTAAGTTTGTTTTTGTCATTCTTATAGTGTGTTTGTCTAGCAGAAATTTCTAAATGAATTTGATTTTCCTGTTCTTAACGTATATGAAAAATACATAAATCAATATACGGCTTTAGAAGTGTCAAGATATTTCTGAACTTTTACGCTATTTACATTTTTAATTTGGTTGATTTGTTTGTAAACTTATTATCTCTGTTAAAGATAATAATGTGATCAAAAAGACTTTACTTTGCATGTTATAATAAAGAAAACTGACTCTTTGTATCTTGAGACTACAGGACAATTTCAAAATTACTTAAATAACATGTTAGCTGAAAGTTTATTTTCACACCCCAGTGTCATTTTACAAGGGGCAAGAGGTCAACGTGAGGATAAAGTTGTTGTGGGTATGTGCCGGGAATTGAACCCGTCCCTTCCGCACCAAAGTCCGAGACGCAAACCACTAGGCTAAGACACGCAAAAAAATTATTACTGCACATTTTTAAAGGTCTGTGTAAATTTTCAATCTAATCGCTCATCCTTATTTTATTTTTTTAAGTACACAACAATATTAATGTACACCCAACTTTTGCAGGATAACATTAAAAAGAAGTATACCTTTCGGTTTTGGATACAAACCTTGGAATGTCATGATGAAAAAGGTTTCATGCTTAACTCAAGATCTAAGAAATCCTGTTGTCATTGTTGAAAAATTGGTTTGTAATTAAAGCTGAACTGTCTAACATGGTGGATCATTTAATACTAGAAATGTGTTATTCAAGTTAATTTATAGCTGTTTTAGCTGCCTTGTTAAAACATAACAAAAATAATAATTTAAACCCTTCTTATTTTAAAATATATAATTGTCCCTTTGAAATATTGTGTATGATAAATTTATTGTTTAGCTCCAACATTTCAACTCATGTAGTCAGAAGTTTCTTCATTTTTATTCATCAGTCAAGTCTACTAGGGGTTTGTTTTTAAATCACTGTCTATTCTGCAGGTTCTCTCTTTATTTTGTTTTGTCTGGTAAAGTATTTTGATGTAATCTCTTAATTGCTCTCTATCTTTTATGTTTGTCTCTTTTTCCTCCATTTTCCCTTTCTTTCCCTTCTCCATTTCCGTTCTTTCCCTCCTTCTTCATTCCAAACCTCTTCTCTCTACTCTCTTCAAAACTTGTATTCTTCTTGAACACCTTCCTATTCTGTATTGTTATTTACAATGATTAATCTTTTCAGTAAATCCAAAAGCTCTTCCCATCACCTCGGCAAGGTGGATTTGTCTCGAACACCGAGTAATGCTTCTTCTTCTACCAACAACGGCTTGGTGAACGCCACCCCATGTGGAGACAGTTCACAGAGCTCAACCCCGCTTGCTGCAAAGGCCGGAGCCGATCCGATAAATCTTCTTTCGAAAATCACCTCTTCGTTCACCCCTACGAGCCATAAGAAATCTCCTCACCCGATTGAAAAACCCGAGTTCTCGATGGATTGTCTTCTCAAAAGGACTAGCGAAAGCATTCCCGACTACAACACCACCTTGATAGATTTGATGAAGAATGATACTTCACTCGTTAACGGTTTATCACTGCCTTTAAATGTAAATAATCAAAATAAGAACGATAAGATTCTAGACTTGTCAAGTGTGAGTGTGAGTTCGAGCAATGTTACAACGAGTGTTATTCAGAGCACGAGTGAAAGGACAGGTGACTCGAGTGTAAGAGTGAGCGCTTCGGAGAAAGCTTTTAATCATACTTCACCTAGCGGGAAAGAGGTAAGGATACAGTACTTGAGGTATTATAGCTCTTTAAAGTTATGGTTCATCAAGGGTGTTTGAAATTTACATTAAAAACGTTTTAATTTTGAAGAAATATAATTTGACTTCCTTTTTTTATTTAAATTTTTTGGAAGAACGTAGGGCCTAGATGTATTTTGTCATCCATCTATGGCACTAACGTACTTCGCTTTACGATGAAAGTTCCAGAACTTGGGACTAAAGTTTTATGTTTTTTCAAGCACCCATAAAAGGTAATGCCCAAAGCATGTTTCTTCATAGAAGATTTTAGAATTTCCATTATTTATTTAAATAATTGAATGCAATTTGATTTACCCAACAGGATACCTGTTTGAATCAACTATAGTAATTCTCCATTTTTCCTGAATCATAGTTATTGCATTTTTAGCTATTACAGCTGTGCATGCGTTTTGTTTTGTAATTTTTGTTTTTTCGTTTAGGCCATGTCTCATGTGCCGTTAAATCGTAAACAAAGACTGCTACAGAGTCCTGAATACAACAGGAACTGTGAATCTTACGATTCAGTAATTAAACAGACTGATACGAGATACCAGTCGCAAGGAACTGAGAAGGTAGGATGTATCTACTGTCTCGCTTCACTGTTCTTGTTTCTCTCTTTCCCGCACTCTTGTTGTAGGAGTAGTCTTCATTGTACCCTTGTTCTGTAGATTCTATTTTGTTGCTATTTGTGTATTAGACCAGTTAGCTTTAAACTCACCGTAGCCAACATTTAATGTGATTGCACACATACTATTACATTCCGGTTATTCCTGGGTTTAGGATTCGTAATCCTTTGTATCCCTGTCCATCATATGTTTCAATCCTATCTTTTCCACATCCCTTTTTATCTCACATCCATTTTCTGGTTTGGACATTAACTAGTCTTCCCCAATTTTTTACCCCTTCGTAGATTCTCTCCGTCATCTGTCATTTTATAACCGAAACCAGCATGATTGGACTATGTGAACGGGTTTTTTATGGGGCAAAAATGGGTTTATCCCATTTTTACACCCAAAATATGAAATTTTGCAATTTATCTGTAAATAATTTTGTAGAGCCTAAAAAAACAAGTAATTTTGTGTATCGGAGTTCTTGTACAATAAATAGTTACTGAGAAAATTTTTTAAAATCCCTAAATTTAATATTCCATATTTTTCTTATGGAGAATAAACTGTTGTCGTTTGCTTGTTCATGTATATATATTGATCAAGTTTGACAAATTTATTTATTTCATATTAAGCTATTAACATTTAACTAAAAAAGACACTATTACCTTCCCTGTGGCAGCAAGTCTAAGTACTCATTGAACGTAATGTTAGTAAAATAAAAAATAAATCAAACAAAAATCATATCTAGCAAATCATATCTGCAGTGGGGGTGGTTTCATTTGATTTTTTATGGAATTGTCTTGTAAACTGACTCGTCTGGTGTCACAGAGCAAGTGCAACAGTGGCGGGGCTGTAGCAGTGAGTGAGAAGCCCCCGCCGAGAGAGAGAGACACAGACAAAGAGACTACGACGGCTACGGACATCTTGAGTCAGATCATCAGCGAGTCTCTGATGTCACCTCCGCAAGTTCCATACAACCAACCTCCTGTGAAGGTGAGTCTATTGCTACGTGCTGCAACTACGAGGAATTAGCTTTTAAATTTATTGTTTATAGGAGCCACAAGGATGTCGGTTGTGTAGTAAAAGTCTCTGTAACACAATAGAGTTTCGCTAATCCGAACGTCCGTCTTTTAACACTTAGGGATAAAAGCCACTTTTATTGGGGTTGTTAGCCAAATGGTGTAGTGACTCAGACTTTAGTGCGGGAAGGATAGGTTCGATTCCCGGCATATCAACAACACCGGTTTGGACCGCTTGCTCTAAATGCGTTGAATACTTCCTCCTGCAAAAATGCCACCGGCGTGGACAACAAAAATAGGTTACTGTATTTAAATTCAAACATAGCTATTTTCTTAAATACCAATCAGGATTTAGAAAAAAATTAGAAAACCAGGAATTGTACGTTAGTTTTGAAGTCCAGGAAAAGTCTATATGAATTTTGTATGGAATCAGGAAATTTGGACCAGCCTATGGTCAAACATTCATTGGTACTATTGATCCTCATTTAAGTTTGTCGTAGCAAGAAGAAGGTGATAGCCGGAAAAGGTGACGATGTAGCAAACGTGTTAGACAATGAAGGTGTTTCCGTGACTGCGGGTACTGTGTTTAAGGTTTTAATGTTTATTTTTAATTTTGTTAAGAATTTTCTCTGCTGACCACATAACTTGTTAAAGTGGTTAGTTGGTCTCAAATAAGAAGATTGTTTTTACTTTGTAATTTTAATGGAAATAAACTCAATTCATTTATTTATATGACAGAATTCTATGACTTTGTCAGTCTTCAGGATTAAAGAATTTAGAAAGGTCACCCTGCTAATGTTCCTCAAGATATTTTGTTTGACTATTTAATTGTTTTTATTTTAATGCAGCCCAAGGAAGAAGTGAAGAACCAAGGAGTCCTTAAGGACCAGGAGTTGTTGTACGACGTCATGCAGGATTTGAAAGAGCTTAATCACCTTAGTAGTGGCGGAAGGGACACCAAGGTAAAAGAATTACAGTGTAGTGACACAAGGGTAAAAGATTTATAGTGTAAATACAGCCTAGCAAAGAAATGCTACTTTAAAATATACCAAACTAGAGACATAAAAGATTTCAAGTGAGAACCAGGTCATAGATTTCCGTTTTTATGAACACTTTTTTTAATAAAATACGCAGCATATCAACTTTTGTTTTTAATATTGTTACCTTATTTGCTATTGTCATAACTAAACTAATCTATCTTACCTCATCTGTTACGGCACACTAGCACAGTGTGTTATACTTCTTGAAAAGACCTTGATATTCAAAACCATCGATATTTTATCGTGTTGTAACATTTACATCGAAGGTAGGTTCTCTGCAGAACTGAACCTTAATTTTTACATCCAGACTTCATATATTTATATTAACTTTGAAATATTCATAGTCATCTACGACTACTGATTGCATCGGTGCAAAAAGGTTAGTAACCTAGTGACTTGGAACTAATTTTGTTTCCAACACTGTACTACTACTTTATAAAACCAAGTGATTTTTTACAGAGCACCAGTTTTACCGGAGCTTCGTGGTCTTACCCTGCCAAATCTTTGGACACTCCCAAAACTACTCCGTACCACGCAGAGTATCTCAACTATCTACAACACTCAGGGACTCCTAAAGACACTCACGCCACACCTCCCTCGCCCCAGTTGCCTTACTCTAGGCATAATACCAGGTGTGTGTTACCTTCAGCCAAGTTCTACTTTTATGATCACTACATTTTGGAAATAGCATGCTGGGTTCATTATCTGTTCACTTTTAGGAAGACCCGAAGTAAACATAATTGCAATCCAAGACATACAAATATTAAAACTAGCTCATTCCTGTTATCCCCACAATAGCTGAGAACACATCAGCTACCAATGCATTAAACACTCAGAGTAGCTGAGTGTGTATCGGGCTTGCCTAGTAATCAAAAGGATGCCGGAGCGAGCTGACTTAGTGGTAGAGAGAGGGACTTCAGTCCCTGAGGTCCTGCGTTCAAATCCCACCAAATCGCAAATGATTTCATCTATGTAATTACACCGTAACCCCTTGGTTTTGCCTGAAGTAACAAAAAGGATCCTAGCCTAAACCATCCTAGTGTCCTAGGACAAAAAAATATACAATTTTGTATTTATTCAAAACAAAAGTAATTATACATGATTGAGGCCCAAGATAAATATTTTCTAATCATACTCACTATCATAAGTAATTTGATATTTCAAAGAGGTTTTAGTCAGTAGTTTTAATTGGAAACTTTTTGTTTCAGCCCCTACGATAACTCGGCATATGTAAATGAAGTTAGTAAATCCTTGTACAGTCACCCGTCTCATAGGAGTAATCAGGTAAAATATTGATCATTTAGCAAATAGATTTGTGTTCAGTTCCGTTACGGTTATTCCTCGGTTGGGTACACTTCCTCTTCCTCCATATTCTTGTCGTCTCATTTTTTCTCACCATTCCTCATCCATCCATCTTCTTTTTTTATCTTTGTCTCCTCCCCTTTATCGTAACTACGTTTTGCTAGAAATTCTCTCGAAACCCTTTGGCATACTTGGGCACATTTCCGTCCTGGGACATTGCTACTAGTTGGACATTATTCCGAGGGATCCAAGCATTGGTCGGGTCAATAATTTTTTTCTGTCCATCTGCAATAGTTATTGCCTGTATTTTTTATTTCTTTGGATGCCTAACCTGTTTTTGAAAAAATTTTTGTAAACAAGTGAGAGTTTGAGGTTATATTTAGTTGTATGCTGCTACGGTCTTGTTTACGATCGGTCGAAATAGTCTGTATATACAGGGTGGCCGAAAAGTCCCTTTACACAATATTGCAGTATGTATTACACTGTTATAAACACGACTCATCAGCAAATATTCGTACGTGAGCAGTAAGGCAACTAGTGGGGGGAGAGAATGAAGCCTCACTCTCTCTTCCCAACCACTGCCTCGGCCCAAGGATGTGGCGACACCCAGTAGAGAGTAAAGGCGGCGTTTACATAAGTCACCCCAGAAATGCTGAAACGAATGAGCCAATGAACTCGGAGTCGAGTCGAGCTTTGCCGAGACAATGGAGGCATGCATGACGGATGTTTTGGACTAAAAATTATGTTCACTTTGTGTAGTCAACAATAAATTTCTGATTAAAATAGATTTTTATGGTTTTAATTAACACCAATTGAATGTATTTTTAGTGTAAAGGGACTCTGTAGATGATTGTGAATTGTCTTTCTAAGGAGGAAGTTGATAATTTAAGACATAATATTTTTGAATAAGGAGATTATAGTCATTTTTGTGAGTCATTAAAGGGAGGAAAGATTAATTCCTGTGTGTAATCAGATAGTGCTAGTTCACCAAATAGATTCACCAGATAGTGTTCAGTATGCCAATGGGTTAACTCATAAGCCCAAACCATCTTGATGTTGCTTTTTCTACTTTCTCTCTTTCTTTTAAGTTCATCTTCCATCCACTACTCTTCTGATTTTCCCCCTAACACTAGTCCACCCTTTTTTACATGCAATAGCCCTTAAACAATACATTTCTCCAGTATCTGCTCAATTCTATTTCATGTACAATAGCAAGCTAGTCTAGTGATAGTGCTCGGGACCTGGGTCCACGAGGTCCTGGGTTCAAATCCCACCAATTACTTATGATTTCATCTAAGAGATTTCTTTGACCCTAGGGCCTAGCCTGAAATAATGTACGACACTTTTGGGGCCAAAGCCTACGTCCTAGGATGTAGAGGTGGAACAAAAAAGTTGCTTTGTTTTTTACCTTCTACGTATCTAAATAAAAAGTCTTAGCCATGTTAAATATGTTCCAAAATCATAAATTTTTGTATTTATTGTAATTTCTTTATTAAAAGCTAATTCATAACAATAAAACTTTAAAGTCAATGGTTATACTTTATTTGGATCGTAACAAATAAGTTCTCATGTACAGTAATTTATGGAACAAACGCTCAACCAATCAATTATAAACTAATAATTTAACATAGTTTCTTTTGATTTTTAACTTATTTATTTTTTATTTCCAGAGCTTACCCTCACTACCTTCAACGCCCACTAACAAATCATCACATATGAACCAGATGAAGAACCATCCGAACACAGGCATTTCAACAGGTGAGATGTAACAATTGTTTGTCGGTGTAACGTATGTGGCAAAATATTGAAATAACATGTAATGTAACTGAATATAATTAAGATGGGTGTGTTATCGTTGGGGAATCTTTGGCTGCATGTGAGGATAGTATTGAATCATTGTCTATGTTTTATTAGTTGTCTTCTAAAATTCTGTTGGGTTAAATCCAGGTTTTTTGTTCACATTTTGCAGACAATTAGTGGACTTACTTAGAGGAGTTAGTATTGTTTTTGCCTACTGTAAAAACATTATACAGGTTAACTCTGTAAAGATGATCCGAATTGAAGAAACAGCTGGCATATTACATATATCAAATGAGTAGATCACCCTGTATTAACTATTCTACTATTAGGTTCTCGGAAAAACAACCTTTGCCACAGAGAAGTAAGATACAGATGAAACATTCAATGGTACACTTAAGTGGTGTCTAGTACTAGTCGCTGGTGTCTAGGGGAATGACCCCCTCCCTTGCCCTTGGAGGAAGACCCTGTGCTCTGTGCAATAGGAATTTCAATTTGCAATAGGAATACTTGTCACTTAAGTATATTTATAGCACAACATACTAAAGTTGAAAGTGCATGGTCATCCCATGAGCAAGTTTTCTCTGAACCTTACTCATCTGTGCTTATACCAAGGATGGATTAACCTAACCTGAAAAATGGTTCATTGTTTACAACTCGACAACTAACAGTTACAGTATGAAATTGGCTCCAAAATTAGTTTTAGCATAAAACCAAGTTCCTGTGTCTTAAAATCATATTGAAATTGTATAGGCTTATATGGTTTCAACATAGTTTTCAGCCAATTACATTCATCATAGTGTAGATCAACTCCTTGTCAAATAATAAGCCCAGTTTAGTAATTTGAACATTGAATTTCCTTACAGGATGTATGATTGCAAATCATGTCTAATTAGTTTGAGGTTAGGTTGGTCATTTGCATCATGATATAGTTTTAAATCAGGTCTGTACATGTGGCATTTGCTGAGCGCCGAGCAAGTACTTGACAAATCTTATGAGTCTGAAGTGGTGTTTGTTTACTTGTCATTTGTCAAATCTCTTGCTGACGAATATCCGCTCGGAAAGTGACAATGCGTGGGCTCCTTTGCTCTGAATTCGACAAATCATTTGCCGCTAGTCAAGTATTTGGTACTCAACAAATGCCACATGCACAGATTTCGACCATCACATTTTGACCATGTTGTGGCGTTTCACGGTCTGAAATCCAATCCTCAGGCGAGGAAATACCTTACAGATTAGTAAACAAACCTAGCTAAAGCTGAAAATAAAAAATTACCACACATTTAAGTAGCCTATAGTAGTTAATTAAATAAAAAAAACCTTAACCCTTACATAAATATATAATTTTTGAAACAAGTTCATTTTGTTCTCTTTTGTCTGTTACTTCTGTAGACTATTATATTTTTAGTGTGTTTTTAATTTTCCAGCTTTGGTTAGGTTTGTATACTATTATTTGTATGCTTTAGGTATACTTTTAGGAAACTAATCCTGAAAAGCTGTGAAAATTACTAATCATGATAAAAAATATCCACAATTATTCCTAAAACAAAATGATCTTGAAACAAAGCAATCCAAGTGCTGATCCAAGTGAAGTTCGACCTAACCTTGTGTACTCGTGTATGTGGGGTACTAACATGCGGGTGTGTTCAGGCTTACCACATAGGTTTATGGGACAGATGGACTACAACAGTGACGATCCTCATCTAATGGGTTTGGCGTCCAGTTTGCAGTACGGCCTGAGTAACTGGCAATACCCAGGTATGGCATGTCTAGTTTGTACTCGTTGGGAAACTACCTAACGTCTCCTTTACTAACTGTCTCTATTTTGCATGGACACAATACTCCTTTTTCAGTGGAAAACAGATTTAGTCTGGAAAACAGCTGTTTGCCGCCTGCTTAGTCAAATAAGATTTCATTATGTGGTGACAAATAGTCAAAGGTGCTGCTGTATGGTGATGAATTTTGTCAGACATAAGCGTATTGTAACTACCTATTATTAATTAGCCTATTGCAAGCCTCATATATTCCTTAACTTAAATGTACAAATATTTGTTTGGTATTTAAATGCAATTCAGAGGCTAAAATTCGACAAAATACCACCCTCTGTCAAAGTCATTATTCAACACCGTGTAGATACAAAAATACATCCTTAGATGAAGAAATTGGATTTAGAACCCCAAAGGTGCAAAAAAAAACTTTAGTTTAAATTATAAAGGGTGTGCATGGGTTATGTTGCGTGTTGGTAGTCTAGTAGTCAACCCTCCGGTACGAAAACGACTGGTTCGATCCCCTTCATATCCATAAACATTTGAGAGTTAGGATCTCAAAGCATTTTAGTATTTCCTCTTACAAAGTGATGCATGCATTAAACCAAAATTGGCGTTGAAAAGTGATATTATTTTCTGGTCATTTGAAATGGGGACACCACCTAGGTGGGTATTTCAACCCAAATATGAGTGAATGACGAGAGTTTCAGTTCGCTCTCCATATTTGTACAGCAGTGTAGAGACATTAATATTTTGTAAAGATAAGACTGATATGTTTTTCCTACATTATTTTAATCTTTTTTATTTCCAGGAAGTGAATCGCAGTCGCAGTCTCACCAGTGAATCCAAGATTAACCAGCTGTTAACAGACACAGATTATATTCTTTTATAGAGAATTAAGATTTACCATTTAGAAATTTATATAAAACTATAGTATTATTATATTCTCAACAGAGCAGGCCAAACAGTTTCGTTCTCCCAAATTTGGATCAGAAAGTAATTGGTAGACTCAGTTGTACCGATTTATGTGTAATTCAAGAATGGCAGACCTGCAAGTCAAGTTTTATTATGCTTTAAAGATAGTATGCAGTTATGTAAAATTGGAAAAAAAATTGTGAGTGAAAATAAAAGTGATAGGCTAGTCATTGTTGATTTTGTGGATGTTTATGAAATGTCTCTTTAGTAAGCTAGTCTTCATGCTAAAACTTTTTTCATATTTATAAAAAAATGCAAAAGAATGTTTTGAAAACTACATTTTTTTGTATTGGGTGTACTTTTTATTGTAGGAAAAAAAGTAACTAAAACTGTTTTCTGTCTTCTTTGAATGACTAAATTATTCATTGAATAATGTTTTTTAGGCTTGAATTCAAGTGGGAACCGTGTTAGAATAAAAACTCATCGAAGCTGAGATTTTTTTAAACAAGCTGAAAGTAATGAATTCTGAATACTGATGCAACTGAATCATACAATAAGAGTCTACCAATATTTTCCCCTTCTTGTTTACTTAGTAAACAGAATTCGTGAAAAATATAACTGCTTTATTAAAGTTAAGTTTTGAATTTAAAACACTGATTTGAGTCATTGTGGTCACGTCTTTATTGTCTCGTCTGTTTTTGTTCTGTAGCAACAATTTTTTACAATTTATTTATTATTAATATTCTTATATTGTGTTTCCATTGTATTTTTATCGCCTGTGGACATGGCCTGTGTAGATGTAATTTATTTGATTTATTTATTGCATTTTATTTATTATATTTAACTGTTTGTATTTAAATCATCTACGAGGTTTGTTTCTGATTTGTAACGTGACGATGAAAAAATGTTAACAAAAACATAAAAATTCAATGCATTTTGTAGAAAATTCGTTTAATTTTGTATTTGGTAAAATATTATTAGTATATAAAAGTTCCTTTGCAGTGTTAGATTATCAGACCAATATCGTTTTTAATTATGTAAGATCGTGTTTTCCTTTTAAAAATCAACACTGTTTAGAATTTTGAGCAAAAGAACTGTTTGGAATATAATAAAATCATTAAGACTGTAGGTTAATAGGTTTGTATATTATATGTTGTGTATTTTGTGTTGTAAAGTAAATGTTTATTTCCCTGTTTTAGATTTTGTATTTGAAAACCAAGAAATATAGAAACATTAATAAGATGTTTTTTATTTATTTATTTTAGCTCCCCCTTGCATATTTAGAATTTAAGCAAAATGTATTTTAAAAGGTGCAAAAACAGAAAATAAACTTAAGTTCAAAAAGCTAAAAAAAATATAAAACTAGCCTTGTTTAAAGTAATTTCCAAATGTAAAACACAAGTTAAAGAATATTTCAACATAATTCATACTTTTTTAATTCAGAAACGTATAATTTTTAAGCTGGATTTTAACAGACTGCAGCCAGAGTATTTTTCTTCAATTATTGAAGTCTTTGAAACTCCTTATCCTGAACAAATTAATTGAGATGGGGACTCAAATAAGGGGCATTTCAATAGAATTGTGAATAGAAGATGAGTGTAAATACTTAATATTATGATATAAAATTAAATTTACGCCACACTACATTATTTTGACGAACTTCCCACCCAAGGATTTAGTCCAGAAAACAGCTGTTTGCCGCCAGCTTATTCAAATGGGGTTTCATTGCGTACTACTGTGCTGCAATGAGTTTTGCCGGACACCAATCAGCTGATTATACTATATTTAGGTGACAATGAATGGTTATAAACAAAAACATAACCTCTCTTAGAGGTTATGACTAGTGATTTTTAGTCCTTTAGTTGGTGAAAATATATTAGGATTTGTACAGATTTAGTAGTATGGCGTAAACTATCGTACGTAACTCGTCCAAAATGTGTGTACCGGACTCGTATGGTAATCCCGTACTCGACTTCGTCTCGCACGGGAACGACCACACTCGTCCGGTAAACACTTATTTTCAGGACTAGTAACGTAATATACTATTATAAGTATCATATTTGATGAATATCATAACATAACTGAAATGCTTTTTACAGTCAATGTCATGGAAAGAGTTTAAAAAATATAATATACCACCTTTATGAAAATCAATAACTACTTTCTCTTTAAATTGTTTACATTTTACCTGAGTCATCCATTGGAATTATTACTCTGTGCAAAGGTCAGTATCAGATGGGAAACAGTAAGCCTGAGGTCACGATGCTATAACTCAAGGTCAAGCTCCTAGCCTTCTTCTGCCATAGATAGAATCTTGCTTTCCAAATCTGGACATCAGGAACTCTTCCGCTACAAACCATGAAACTGTAAATCAGAAGCGGAAAGTTTACTAAATTTCCATTTTAGCCTACCTTGGCTGGTAAAAAATCTTTGAAATAAAAAAATGCTTGTATGATTAAAATTTGTACATCTATCTGATATCAATTTAGATTAACAGATAACAGAAAATTACAATACTTTCTCAAGTGCCGGTCAAAAAGAGGATTTGTGAAATTGCATTTATTTAATTAACTGGTTCTATAAAGAAGTCTTTTTACCATTGTCTCACTCTGAAACAATTATGTTTTATCTGGTTCTGGAATGCAAAAAAAATATATTCCCTATTCTCTGTAAGTGATAATACTCTCCCAAGGTTTCTCGTATTTAACAAATTAATGTATGTAAAATAGGAATGTGCCCAGCGTGTTTTATAGTTGTTACGATATATCATTTTCATGATGTCTATAAGTTATTGTAGCTAAGGTCCTAGGTCCCTAAACCATTAGCCTAGTTACTATGCTATGCTAATGGTGTTACACACGTCCAGTTATGTCATTATCACTAATTCAGTCTACACATCTTGTCAGGTAACTAAATCATCATTGACTATCGATTAAAAATTTTTTAAATAAAAATTATTAATTTAAATAATTTCATCGGACATACAGAAATACTATAGGTGGTTACATGTGTATATTCGTTATGGACACGAAACCAATAATACTTCTATGGCATTGAGGAATCAGCTGGAGCTGACCCTGTCTGCAGCTGTATCTGTCGTTTTATCCAAACAAGAGACAAGAAGGGGAGGGGATTATTGCTATAGTTCTGGTTTTGGTTGTACGTTTTGCTCTATTACGTTATGTCCGTATTGGTGTAGCTGAATGCTTTATTTCAAGATTATTGTTAGTAGTTTTCTAAATCTCATTTTAGAATTCTAAATTCTTGGTTATTTAGTACATCAAAATGAGTTTTTAAACGCAAGAAATACCAAGTTTTCACCCATGTAGTTGGCGTTTGACGTTAGGAGAAAGGCTAACATACAGGAAGTGTTCAGATTTCACCAAGGACAGATCTAAGTAAGTTTTTACTTATTTTACAACATGTTATTCTAGAAAATATTAGTACCTAGATTTTCATAATAGTTTCTTTAATGTTTCTGACTGATTTAAGTAGGGTCAGGGTGGTTGATTGTACCAACTCATGGTACGGTAATATGCTTGTCCAAAACATGCTACTTGGGTTTCCTTTGTTAAGAATTAAATAAAATCTGCTGGCAGATGAATCAATTATCTTATAACCAAATTTCAGTTTAATAAGCTATGTGTATATTAAGTAGGCTATGATTGCTATGTCAACAATTTTGTGTAAAATTTAACTTATATCAATATGATATGTAATCAATAGGCCTATGCCTACTGTTATTATTTTAATCCCTGGCAATATAGGCTATTGGATTTATATTCTGAAATGCCTTGTATAATGATAGTTAGCCTTTGAAAATTACAAAGTAGGAACTTGGATAAAGATGGGTTTCATGATGGAATGGCCTCTAGATCGTCTGAATAAACTAATATAGGTTTAAATTACCTGTTTTCTGTCAAAACGATCAGTTTAGTAGTATGATGACTACAGCTGTTTCGTGCTTAAAAAATAGCACATCTTCAGGTCCAGAATGTCTTGCTAATCCCTCATGATTAGTAGCGTCTGGTCGACCAGTTTATTAAATGTATTTTCGTGTGTGTCGTATCCGTATGTGTGTCCCATTTATTTATTTGTTTATATTTTTGACGAACTCTACATGAGGGATTAGCAAGACATTCTGGACCTGAAGATGTGCTATTTTTTAAGCACGAAACAGCTGTAGTCATCATACTACTAAACTGATCGTTTTGACAGAAAACAGGTAATTTAAACCTATATTAAAGATGGGTTGTTATTCATAAGAGCTCTCTCCATTTGATGTTAAGTAAATACTGAAATTTCGTGAATATGCCTTCCTAACTTATGTTTTGGAATGTTTTCTGTGTAACATATTGACCAACTCTTAATCATCCAGCCAGAAAAAAAAACAGATGTATAGGGCTGGTGATAAGTTACCATACACCAAAATAACCACAGCATAGGCTGTGTGCAGTACAAAATTGTCTAGGTAAGTTAGGGGAATGGTAACTTAGCAGTGCTTGTCTCCAAATCTGAAGGTCGCCCTTTTGATTCCAAGCGCGATTGTAACTTAACTGGACCCAGATACCATTTGACATCGGGCAATCAATTAATGATGCTATTACCTGAGGGTTAATCTAACAAAGGTTAGGCTAGTTGAAAAAAGGTTTGATAACCAGGGGTGCCCATCCCTCCCTAGACTCATGACGCATCCCCCCAATTAAGCAAAGGCCCCCCCGCCATAAATGAGGTACACAACAAATGAGAAACATTATTCCCCCGCCCAGCACTATTTGTAAAACTAAAAGAAGTTTTATACATTTTTTTAGATAAAAATGCAAACCCAGTTAATCTATATAAATAAAATAATAACTTAGTTTTGTCTGTAGGCCTACATTGCTCAGAATTATACATATTTTGGGTTATTTTTACGTTTTATACATGTTTTTTCTCAATTTATGTCCGTCTGTCACGGCCCAGAAGGCATTTTACGCAGCCTACTCTAAAGAAAACTAGAGTACCGATTATGATTTTAATGGTTTAATTGTATTCACGGGATTGGCAAGAGTGTCCTTAGCCATTAAAATATGGCATTACTATTTTGGAAATAAAATAACTGACGATCAATATTTTCTCCACTGTTTACTTCATACGTCATTTATGAAATAGGCCTACTAATAATCTGTTAAGAGGTCGTATATGAAATTACGAACAGCTGTTTTATAAAGATTCCTTTTTCTAGCTGTCACTGATATGTTTACATAAATGTTGTTTACGAATACTGTGTGGGCCCTAACCATTTCCGATTACGTTTGTTACCATTTCCGATCACGTTTGTAAGCAAATCCAAAACCAAGTGAGATTTATAACCGTGTGGCTTTGGCTTACATATCGGGTTTGTATCTTTCAAAAAATGATAAGTAGCCTACTTACTAAGTACCGGTAGGCCTACTTATTTTTATTTTTATGTATTTATTTTATTTATTTGTGCCGTACTTATATTTTAGTTAAGTTTAGGTAGTATTTTTTTGTTAAAGATGTTACATGAAGCAAAAGGGCCTAGGTTTTTAGGATTTTTCATTGAGGAAAGAAGGCTTAACTGAATGGGAAAGAGTCGTAACTGGCACAAGAAACACTAGGCCTAAATTTTACACCAGGATTTTAGGGTCGGAAGGAACCCTCACATCCTTTAGCTGTTAAGGCTGTCAGTGACGGTAACATGTAAAGTCTTAAGTGTTTCTTTTGCTAGTTTGGACTCACATTTAGCTTAGCCTTTTAAATATCTTAACTAAAAATATATAAAATATTTATATATTTTTTTGTAGTTATCAGTTTATCTTTGACTATTGTAGGCCTACATTAGAGGTTAAAAAAGATGATCTGTTTCAATTGCCAATTAACATTTTCTTCATCCGATTAGTCCATGATATATTATTTTGGCTGCGGTTCAGTTTCCGTCAAAAATATATAGGCTAGCTTACTGGTCTGACACTATTTCTCATTGTAATATTTATCCGGTAAGTTTATTATTGTAGAAATTAGCCTAAATTAAATCTGATTTGAAAGATTAATGTGACGAGTTAAATAGGGTAATATAAAATGACTTTTTTACTGTATCGGTATGGTTTTTAAATAGGCTTAATGTATGAACTTGAACGGATGGTGTTTTTGGTCTTTGGGAACATCAAAACTAAAAAGTAAATCGGTCTCGAGTACAGGTCTTCTTACCATGAGACCTACGGCTAGCGTATTCCCTATATGGGAAATTTGCTATGAAATGACTTCTTCATTGTAACTTAGGGTTTTTTGTTCTTTGTGGTTTTTACTTAATAGCATATTTTCTATAGAAGTTAATTCTCTTATGAATGTTTGCCCATTAAAGAAAACAAAAATTTTATGCCTAGTATGTAAAATAGGGGTAGCAGAATTTTATCCCCCTGGAATTTTACCCCCTGAGCAAAACTGACGTCACAAACCAGGGGGTAAAATTCCGGCTGCGAACTTTTGAGTTGCACAACATCAGTTCAATAAATTAAAGGTGCAGTTAGACGTATATTTTCACTCAGAACATCAAATTATAAAACCTAGAATATATGGGCCAGAATTTTTTACCCCCTGGCCATTTATAGAAATTGGTAAGAATAATTAATTTTATTGGAAATAAATTGTTTTTCTATTGAATTCAATTGAAATTATCTTTATTCTACTTCATTCTACAGTCGTATAATAAATCACACCCAATTATCATTCAAAATTCAGTTGTTAGCTAAACCTGTTTACTTAGTTGAGATTACAAATTAATTAAGAAAAGCTACTTAATAATAAAATGTTTACTACTCAATCAAAACTGAAATCAGAAAATTTATTAATCTCACTAATTTCTATATCTGCACAGGGGGTAAAATTCTACGCCGTACATCTACAGTTGCCTAAACCCTAGTTATATGGACAGCCTGGGGTAAAATTCGAGGTTTTATCGCTAATCTAATTTATCACGCTCTGTTTATTTTAATTAGACTTCCAAACCCACGGGGGTAAAATTCCACCCGCTTACAAACTTTAGAGCGCTCAGGTTACTACGCTATAGTGACGTCAGCTTTGCCCAGGAGGTAAAATTCCAGGGGGATAAAATTCTAGGGGGACCCGTAAAATAAGCTTAACCTAAACCTGTTTGAAAAATAAAACTTGCAATTGAAGGGTTTTAATTTAAAATCTATCACCAAAATCGTGTTACAAATTCCTTTATTGAATAACTATTCCTCTTACGCTATACTTGAATCTTGATTTTCATCTCTGCTTTTTGCAACTAAAATCTAAATAGAGATAGAGAGAGAGCACAGACTTGTATTCAGGGTACCGTAACTTAGTTGGACCACGTCCAAACTCCAAATTCTATTGCATTTTCTTTTCATTATGTTGCTATTTTATGAACGCCCACACATGTGAAACACATAAACAGCTTGTTGCTATTTTCTAGCATTGACCTCCTTACACCTATTTGTTTTGTTCAGTTTAAATAGGTTTGGTGTAATGTTTCCTAGTTTTACCGGTCTGCTTGTTTGTGTGTATGTGTGTGTGTGTGTGTGTGTGTGTGTAGATGTCCTACAGAGCTTCAGACCACACCTGTTGTCTGATTTTCATGAAATTTGGTAGCCTATGTAGGTACTAATCCATAGTATCTCCAGGCGTTTTTTGGATTTTGTTAAATTAGATTTTTAATGGTGATTTTCCCATAAAAACCCATTAAATAATGGTAAAAAAGGATTTTCTTGAAAATGGCCCGAACAATATTCATAAAAAAATTTTTTGTCCTTAAACATTTTTAACAAAATGGTACAAATCCATATTCTATTAAAATTACGGTTTCAAAGTTATTGTAACTTTGTTATTTTCTCATAAAAAACCCCCATAAAATTTAAAAAAAAATTGGATTTTATATAAAGCCGGTTTTGTTCAAACAATGAGTTATGGTCCTTAAAATTCTAAACAAAATAGTGCAACCCCCCTAACTGCCGCCCATTGCTGTAACAACTGCTGCAACTTTTTAGATTTTTTCCTATAAAATATCATAGTTACTCCCACCGCTTACCCATGATAAAGGTAGTTGACAAGCTTATGGGAGAAAGTATGAGTCAAATATTGCTGATACCATTTATTTATAACAGTTTTCTTAAAAACTAAACAATGGTTTTCTTTAGTTTTTCATTTTCTTTGTAGTTATATGCGAGTACATAATAATTAAAACAGAGAGTAGATGAGTCAGAGCAAGTGTGTTAATCAACTTTTTTATGCCAAAAAATTAAATTGTTCGTGAGATAATTTTGAATTTTCAGATTGATTGGAGAATAGGTAGCATATAGGTAATTGATTTGCTTGGTGTACTAGGGTCTACTAACATCTTCAGACAATGGTGTTGAGGCACTCAGAGTTTGCTAGTATTAAAATAATATTTTCTCTTAGTTTTCCATACTTTGATACTTAAATGCAGGCCAACTTTAAAGATGCTTGTCATGTTGTCAATACAAGGCCGTAGCCAGGGAGGGGGGGTTAAGGGACCAAACCCCCCCCTAAAATCTTAAAATTTAGTTGTAAAAATCAATGTTTTATCCTACAGTATGTTTTGAAATTTATGAATACAATGGTTACAGTTTAGTTTTTAAAATGTCTACTTGTTAATGACAAATAAAAGGTGAAATATGAGGTTTTTGGACACAGTTCTAGACGTTTTAAACCTGGATTTAGAAAGTCACCAAGACAAGAACTACTTTTGGGAGGATATGGCCATAATATAAATTATGTTTTAAAATGTTTTTGGGGGTGAACAACTTATTACCCCCTTGAACAACCCTCACTAACCAGACCCCCCCCCCCCCCCCCCGAAAATTTTTCCTGGCTACGGCCTTGGTTTCGCTTGATCAAAAAGTTGTTAAAATCAGTAATTTACACTAGCCACTGTCTGTGATATAAATAATCCCCATTCATTTTTATTCAAAAACTAGCTAAATTGAAATTAGATGCCTACTTCTAGCCAAAAGCTATAAATCGTACACATTGATCCAATATTGTATTGTATTTATTGATAAGAATGTAAATAATAAGCTGTGACATCGGCTCGACAAAGTCGGTTGTAATTTTGAGCACGTTGCAATTTTGTTGCCACATTCATATCTTTGTGAATCAAAGCTACGCAACTGCTGACTAAGTAGACGTAATAGTCTGATAAGGTTGTGTGCGTTAAGATAATAGAAGTTATGACGCAACTGTTTTAAAATATATTGCTCGGCCTAATTTCAGTACTAATAATAAAATGTCCGCTTAAAAGAAATATTTTTGAAAAAATTGAGAAATTAGCTTGTTTTGAAAAAAAAAATGTAATATGGATTTTTCATACCTATTATATTATTAATTTTATTTGCCCTTTTTAATCACAAAGCACTTAGGCTAATGTTTTGAACTTCATTTAGTGTTGCACTTTTCATGACTTGGCAATTCTTTATAGATTTTAAACACTCCCATATGAAAGAAACTTTTTTCCCAAGTTGACGAAGATTGTGATCAATCTGAACTCCATTCAAACAGGCTTGGCTTAATCCGGCAATTTGGCAGCAGTCGTTAAAATGTCGTACAGCAAAGATGTGCCATTGTAAATAAAAATGTTTGTCGCAAAGTTTACACTTATTTATTTATGTATACTAAAATCCAGAATACACTATCATGCTTTTATCTTGTAAAGAGTGTCACATTATATTCAAGGTGTACCCCAACGACCACAGAATATTACTGTCTTTCATCGTTAAATTTTTAATTTAATCAAGACTTTCATTTATCCATTCTGATTATTCTGGATTAATGAGAGCTTACTGTATCACATGTATTTATTTTTTTACATAAAACCTCTTACATTAATGTAGATACTTGGTTCTTAAAATATTTTGGTTTTAAAGTAGTCTTTTTCCATGAGCTTTGACTGTTTTAACGCCAATATTCTTATTATTATTTTGTAATTTTAAAACACGTTTTATTAATACCCTATCTAATTATTTCAATTCTCATTGATGGGTATAAACATAGACTAACCAACACAAGTAGACTTCTCATCCCATTGTAAATTTTGAAGCACGTTTTTCGTGTCTAGTTCATGTAAGTGACACAAAGGCGCTAGTGTCGATGAAACTTTGTTTCCATTATTTTAGGGTTAATTTCTTGATTTGTGCTTAACTGTTTGGTTATATAACTAGGGGACAAGTTATTGTTAATGATTAGATCGTATTATTTGGTTAAACGAGGTTTTAAATGGCTGTAATAACGGGAAACAAATTGTAAACAAAACACGACCTCTACATAAACCGTACATGAACTAACAATAAAATTGTCTTCAGCTGTTCCATAAGGATGAGAAATCTACTAAGGGAGTATGTTTTATCTATGGTATAAACAAAGTTGTAAATTCAAATAATTTATAGTCATTAAGTACATTGTAGGCTAATAAACCAGGTAAAAAAAATACATTGTATAACCAGTACATAGACAATTTTAGTTAACTTAAAAATACTGCTTTAGTTGGCAAAATATATACGACACTATTAAAAAAAGAAATTGTTCAGTAGGTATAAGTAGGGATAATTTTAATCCCTTGCAACAAAAAGAAAATTTTATAAAAATAATTTTGTCATTAAGTATTTTCCTCAATCTTCATTTATGATAATCAATTGGCATACATTGTATTTATAGAATGACACTAAGCTTAACATTGGATTGCGCCCAAGAAAAATAATATTAGCCTAGCTTCCTGGCAACACGACCACGACTTGTAAACACTCCGTCCACTGCACGGACAGATCTATAAATTTGGTGTCAAGGGTCTTTAATGACTTTTTGTGATATATATTTATACACTTCCCTTCCAGCTAAAATCAGCGTCTCCTCTAAATTTGTAGGATAACCTACATTTACTCGAGAGTGACTTTTAATCTTTCCACAAAACTTTACTTAGCAAATTCAAAATTCTGACAGTTTTTTTTTACTTGATAAGAAAAAGGTTTTTATGTTTGTAGATGTATTGTTAAGTAATTCAAAATATTAAGTAATTTTGCTTGTCTAAGTATTGCTTAAGTTTTCTACCCATCAATGTACTATCATGTTATTTTTTTTTTAATTGTTTAACTGTTTTTGGTAGACTAAGATGTGTTTTTTTATTGCTTTTGAAAGAAAGATTATTTTTATTTGTATAATTTCATGGCTTAGCAAAAAATTACTCCTTAGTGTGGAAAAAATAGTCTTTGTTGCAAAAATGTTTCAAAGCTCTCAATTTACAATTCTGCTACATAGAGATAAAAACCTATTTTCAAAATGTCAAAAGCATAGTCAAAAAAATATGTTTGATAATTTGAATACACTTGTTGGGACCAAAATTGATACTCTATATTAATTTTGAAAGTTCTTCGCGTTTAATGATTTTTATAGTAACCATAAACTAATGCTTCTAATTAGTAACTGTTAATGACTAACTCACCAATTTTTGTAGTGTAATGATTTGAATTAGGTACCGGTACTCTAAACATCTTTTAACTAAGCTATTGATTTTAATGTACTATGATCATTACTGAGTCTTAGCCTAAAAAAGTTTTTTTTTACCTTGAGTCATAGCCTAAACAAGTATTTTACCTTGGATCTTAGCCTAAACAATTTTTTTAGCTTGGGTATTAGCCTAAACAAGTAGTTGACCTTGGTTGGGTCTTAGCCTAAACAAGTTTTTTACCTTGAGTCTCAGCCTAAACAAGTTTTTTACCTGAGGCCATAGCCTAAACAAGTATGGGTCTGAGCCTTAAACAAGTGTTTTTACCTTGGTTCTTAGTCCAAACAAGCTTTTTTCAGTTTTTTACAGCTATCATCTGTGGGTTTTTTTAAAATTATATCCTAGCTGTGACTGTATTAGAATGTTTATGTTTCAGGCCTCCGAGATGAGTGAGATCGACTGCACCATGGAAGTCGAGCCTCAGCTTCCCGTGTTTCCAGACTCCTCCAAGCCTTGCGTACAAGTGTGGATGGACAAGTTCACCAAAGGCATCTTGTCTTGTAACCACTTCAAGGACCACTGGAGAGTCTGGGTGCCGCGAATCTTCAGTCCAGAACCGAGCAACAACTGTCTAGACTGGAATTTTGACAATGAGAAAGCCCAACAGATTCTTATAGACACCCTCGAAGAGTTTATCTGCAACGGGGACCCTCAAACCGTGTTAAAAAGCCTCAGCCAGTTGGACAATCCTCCGTCGATATGCGGACGAGTTTTCAAAATGGGAGAGCCTACTTACTATTGCAGGGAGTGTGGAATGGACGCAACCTGTGTCTTGTGTGTGGACTGCTTCAAGAAGTCGGTTCACAAGAACCACAAGTACAAAATGGGAACTTCCAGCGGAGGAGGATGCTGCGATTGTGGAGACGTCGAAGCCTGGAAGAACGATCCTTACTGTGACATTCATGCTCAAGGTCTTCAAAAGAGGCAGTCATACGGGAGTGTACTGCCGGAAGACATTGCGGAGAGAGCGCGTATCACTTTTAGTGCAGTTCTGCGCTACGCTTACCAACTCCTCACACTGGAATTTTCACCAGGATTACCTGCGGACTTACTTCTTAAACAATCTGAAGAAGATTCTCTAAACTTTTTGCAGTCTCCAGATACATTCTGTACGGTGTTGTACAATGATGAAACTCACACTTTCGAACAAGTCATCAACACCTTGGCGAGAGTTATCAAGTGTTCGCAGAGGGATGCGATTGAGTTTGTTACAAACATAGACAGAGAAGGAAGGGCTGTTGTGAAATGCTCTACGTTCCAATGTTGTTCTGACCTAAAGCAAGAGATTGAGAGGTTCACTTCAAGACATGGTAACAGACCGCTCAAGGTTCTAGTTGTACATGCGCATGTCGTAGCTCATCAGTTGTATGCGATGCGCCTCCTCACGTGGCTACAACAAATCCTCAGCAACTGCGAAGGTTTCAGAGTCGTATTTAGTGAAGTCGCATTGCAGATCAAATCACCAGACACCTCGATAGTAGAAGGAATTCTTTTGCGGGATTCCAATCTGTGGAAGTCAGCCCGTCTCCATTGGCACAGACTTTTTATCTCAGGAATGCTCATGGAATACGAGAGTAAAAAGGCATTTGCAAAAGTTTTTACAAAAAACTACGGTGCAGTGATGAAAGATTTTATTCGGGACGACCACGATCACTCGTTTTCTGTAGCCTCGTTAGCAGTTCAAATTTTCACTGTTCCGACGCTTGCTCATTATCTAATAGCTCACGAAGATGTCTTGTTGACTTTGTTTAACACCTTTATTTCAGAGTGTTCCCGGAAAACCAACAAGTCTGGGAAGTTGGAGTTTGAGAGAAACGTCTCTAACAGTGCTTTCAAGAGAGCTCAATACGTACTTTATGACTTGAGGTACTTATTAGGGGTGATCCCAGATGTGTGGACAGATGAACTGAGGAAAGGAATTCTCCAAGGTGTAACACTTCTACTGAACCTGCTGAACATCATGCAAGGAATGGATGCAGTTACTAGACAGGTCGGACAGCACATGGAGTATGAGCCAGAGTGGGAGTCAGCTTTCAATTTGCACATCAAGCTCGCCCCTGTGATAACCTTGATTCTAAAGTGGTGTGGATCGGACAGGGTTGTTCTGATCAAAGCGTATCGTGCGACTCTCAAGAAGCTTTACGAAAATCCCAGTTTCAATCCTTCCAGTGTTGGAGAGGTGCGTGAACTAGCTGATCACAGTGCTTCCTGCCTCCAATATGATGTTTCGTCTCAGCCCGTCTCGATACACCTACCACTCTCGAGGTTCCTCGCTGGACTTCACCTTCATCTTGAAAAATTCGGGTTGCATTTTGATTCTCCCGAATTCCAAATTCCAACCAAGCAAACGCCAGAGCAGATCATTGAGCCTGTTTTGAGGACACAAGTCATGATATCTCAAGTCCACGCTGGAATGTGGCGCAGGAACGGTTACTCGTTGTTAAATCAACTCTACTTCTATCACAATGTCAAATGTCGAGGAGAGATGCTAGACAAAGATGTTGTTCTTCTCCAGATCGGTGCATCACTAATAGAAAGTAACGAGTTCTTGATTCATCTGTTGAATAAGTACAACCTTATCAATTGGGCTAATCCGTTGTTTGAAACAAATACGTTGAAAAACCCTGAAGAGGATAGTATACGTCAAACGATAAGTCTGGTTGAGGAATTCCTCGGGCTACTTATCACCTTAGTAGGGGAAAGGTACAATCCAGGCGTAGGACAAGTGACTCATGATGACTGCATCAAGAAAGAAATAGTACAACAGCTTTGCATCAAACCAATGTCTCATTCGGAACTGAATAAAACTCTGCCGGATGATGTCAACCATGAGACAGGTATGGAAAAAGTCATCAATGATGTTGCTGTATTCAAGAAACCTACCCAAGCGTCCGGAAAAGGTGTGTACGAACTGAAACCTGAGTACTATGACCAGTACAATGTTTTCTTTTATCACTACACCCGAGAAGAACTGTCCAAATCTGAGGAAGAACAGCGTAAGAGAAGGAAAACAGCTGGTGATTTAGAATGTTGCCCTCCACCGCCTCTTCCTCCGCTGGCAGAGTCGTTTAGTGTTTTGGCCAACTTGTTGCAGTGCGATGTTATGCTTCACATTATGCGTATTGTGCTGGACAGAAGCATCAACTTGAGAGCAAGAAGTTTTTCTGAAGCTCAGTTGAACAAAGTGTTACATCTTATTGGGTACGCTCTTCACGAAGTTGAGAGACAAAACTGCCAATTTCTCATGTTCACTGAAAGGGCTGAAAAGTGGGATCTGGAATCTTTAATGCAAATGCTATCTAAAAGCCCTAGGATTGAAGTCCACAAGGACTTGTTGACTTGGACTGTAACAAAATTCAGAAATGTGTCTGCAGCCCGTCGGTTAGGCCCCCAAGCCCCTCAGGTCGAGGCACTTCCCCAACCTTCAGGGAGTCAAGAGGATGAAGCAGCCAAGGAAGAAAAGAGCCTGAGAGCAGCAAAAGCTGCCGAGAAAAGGGCAAAAATTATGGCCCAAATGACAGCGATGCAAAAAAGTTTCATGAAGGAAAATGCTAAACTCTTTCAGTCCACTGTCAAATATCCTGACACGGAAGAAATCACTGGTTCAACTATGGATTTAACGGAAAGCGTTGACGAAATCCCAATCTGCCTTGGTCCTAACCAAACGTCAAGGTTTTGTCAGAAAAAGACATACACTTGCATACTTTGTCAGGAAGATCAAGCCGTAACAGCAGAAGGCCCAGCACTGGTGTACGCAGCGTTTGTCCAAAAGTCCACTGTCCTCTCCCGCTCTAGAAATGATGAAGAATACGAAGAACAGGACCCTCTCTTTTTACCATATAGACTCGGCCCCGCACCTCACACTAGCACTTGTGGTCACGTCATGCACAGTACATGCTGGCAAAGGTATTTTGACAATGTCCTTGCGAAAGAAAACCGACGTCCCTACAGACTCAGACAACCTGCGAGTTTCGATGTAGAGAAAAATGAGTTTCTTTGCCCCCTTTGTGAGTGTCTTAACAACACAGTTTTACCACTGATTCCTGCTCTAGGCAGTTTCCAACAAGGTAGCCAAAATATCGATAATCTTAATCTTGACGAGTGGTTAAGTAGTATCATGATTGCGTTGCAGCACAAAAAGAGAATACAGAAGAACAAAGCTTTGGCTCAACAGGCCAACACTAAAACAGAAAATCCAGTCAGTACAAAGACCCATGTGAAAGTGGATATGCCATCGAGTTCTGACGATACTCCTTCAAATTCTCTTGTAGCAGTGGCAACACCTTCACCATCAGTAGATCCGGCTTCAGCAGAAGACGAAACAAGCATATCTATAGACTTATCAACCTCTGATGAAGAGTTGGAATATGAAAATGAGCCAATTCCTACAACGAGGGAGATAAGCATCGCCGAAAGTGATGTTGTAATGCAGTTGCTGTTGTATTCGAGAGCAGACCAGAACTGCGAACCGTCAGGTGAATCCAACACCGCTCAAGTGAAGCCTCACACTCAGCTCGCTCCCGATATTTTAGATATGATTTTGCTGTTCTCCCAAGCCACATTCACTAAAGGTTTAGGAGCTCATCCAAATCAGGACGACCAAAGAGTACCACTAATGGCTTGGAAATCTTGTGCCTACACAATTCACTCACTAGAATGGTTAACTAGAGACATAGGAAAACCCGTCTTAGGCGATTTATCCTGTAGGCAACAAGACTGTTTGGAAGGTTTGGTAAGAATCGCTGGTGTTTTAGGTTCTACTTGGAAGCAAGAACAGGTTATTAACGGTCACGCTTTCCGACTGCTATCGTTAGTGCTAGAAAATCCACCTGATGGACCATCACTCCTCGATTGGGACAGTTTTGGCGTCTTAGTGCCTCTAACCATTTCCATTCCTAGCCTGTTCTACACCGAACAGCCGATTCCGATTCCAATGGGAACCACACTAGAGCTTCACACATTACATCTGATGTTCATCTCTAATATGGCTCAGATAATTCTCACTTGCGATCTCCAACGAGCCGGAATACCCATGGATGAAGATGTTGAAGATTCCGAAACAGAATGTCTTCGCGAAGTCATCACTACTTTGAGGGGTAACATCGACGTGAGCACCTCAACCGTTTGGTCGATAGTTCAAGAAAACTCTATTCCGTTTCTCCGGTGTTGCGTTCTGTTCTACCACTATCTTACTGGAGTCCCAGCATCTCCTGCATTAACGGAAGTCGGAGGCGATACTTTTGTAAATATGTGTAATTACCTCGGTCTTTCTCCGACGTGCAAGGAACTGCTGTCTCCTACCAACGTGATGACTTTGATCAAGAAGTGGGCGAGTCATGACAGAGTGAAGGTGTACTTGAGCCAGTCGCCTCTGTCTTACAGAGACCCTCTCGTGGTCAACAGATTGGTCAGTCTGCCCGACGACTACAGCGAGCTTATCAACACCGTCAGCCTCTTCACCTGTCCGAACAGCGACCGAGAGGACTCCCGCAACCCTACGATGTGTCTAGTGTGCGGAGAAATGCTGTGTTCTCAGAGCTACTGCTGTCAAACGGAGCTCAACAAAATACTGGTGAGTGAAATTCTTATTTTTTTAAAAGTGTCTGTACTTTAAAATAGACGGAATTTGCTTACAAATGGGTTTTACTGGATAAAGAAACCACCAAACAGCCATATTATTCTGTATTAGGATTTTTTAACTGATTGCTAAAAAAACGTATCACGTTAATCGAATAAAATTTTACCACAAGTGAAATTAGTTTAACTTATTTGAAAATTAACACCTTACCTTTTACCTTATAATAATTAATATACAGTGCAGTCCGGCTAATCCGAACTAATTGGGACCGAACCCCGTTCGGATTAGCTGATTGTTCGGATTAGCCGAAATAACGTAGATAATCAAGATGGAAGCAATTTTAAGGGGTCGTAGTGTCGTAATATGAACGAGCAATACACAAAAACCAATTTTAATAGTCCATTTACTACAACAAAATTAAAAAAACAACAGTTAAACTTAAATAAGCGCATCAGTTGTGCAATATCTAGCGTGTCAACAATCAACTAGCGTAGAGCGATATGAACGGGTGGGCAGACGTGTATGATGTGACGATAATGCGTGCGGACTGTACGTCTGCACGCACTGCTTACCGAGACTGTACACAGTAGCCTACACGTCTGCCCCGTTCTGCCCCCCTCCCCTCACCAATACACCTAGCTTAATTGTCAGAATCGCAACACAACAACACCTTGATCTAGTCTGCTTTTGTTTACGTAGTGCGGTCAGTCACCTGTGGATTTGCGTGTGTACGGGTTTTTAGTGTGATAAGTGCAATGTCTAACAAACGTAAACATAACACTTTGACTCTTAAAGATAAGCTGGAAACTTTAAAACGTTTGGATAATGGTGAAAGTGTGACTAAACTAGCGAAAGAGCTGAACGTTGGCAAAGCTACAATTTGCGACTGGAAAAAAAAACCGTGCGAAACTTCAACAATATTGCACAACGTCTTCAGAGGTAACCCTTGAAAATCGGCAAACGGCGCGACAGTCGCAGTATGATAAAGTTGACGAAGCGCTTTTTCTGTGGTTCTCGCAAGAAAGGGAAAGGGGAACCCCTTTAAGTGGACCTATCGTTCAAGAAAAGGCAATTCAGTTGAACAATCTGTTAAATGGCGACAGTTCCTTCACAGCCAGCACCGGTTGGTTTGACCGGTGGAAAAAACGTCATGGTATTCGGCAGCTAACTGTCACCGGTGAACAACTTTCCTCAGATCAGGCTGCAGCGCAGGAATACCTTGCTTCATTTGACAATTTAATAAGCGAAGGAAATTATTCACCCCAACAGATATATAACGCTGACGAAACCGGCCTAAATTTTAGAGCACTGCCAACTAAAAGCTTGGCCTCTAAATCAGAAAGTCGTGCTCCTGGTTTTAAAATGAGTAAGGACCGAGTAACCATTATGGCTTGTTCCAATGCTGCTGGTAACCATAAGCTTCCTCTTATGATGATAGGCAAAGCTGCTAAGCCTCGAGCCTTCAAGCATGTAAACATGAAGTCACTTCCAGTGTATTACAGGAACCAGAAGAGAGGCTGGATGGACGGGAAACTGTTTAAAGAATGGTTCCATGACCAATTCGTACCATCTGTTAAACGGTTTAGCCAAGAAAATGACATTCCCCCACGTGCTATTCTTTTGCTAGATAATGCACCGTCCCACCCAGATGTCGACGAACTAACATGTGGCGAAATAAAGGCAGCCTTTTTACCTCCAAATGTGACGCCATTATTGCAACCAATGGACCAGGGGGTTTTGCAGGCTCTGAAGCTTAAGTATCGCAAACACTTTTTAAAGTCCCTAATTGAAGATGGTACAATTCCCTTGGTTCAAAAAATTAAACAAACGAACGTAAAGGATGTTGTGTATTGGGCAGCTGAATCTTGGGAAAATGTGACAACTGGGGCGATAAGAAAATCGTGGAAAAAGTTGTGGAAATCGTTAGATTTTGAAGAAACCCCTACCGAAAATGACCCAGTTAACTTATTACCAATGATTCGAAACATTCCCGGTTGTGAAAACGCGGAGGAAGAGGACGTGGATGAATGGATGGCGGCAGACGGTACTAGTGCAGAGACTCTGACTGACGATGACATCGTAGCAGCAGTGACGCAAGATCATGTTCAGGGAGACGAGGGGGAGGGTAGTGATGACGAGCCAGGGGGTGGGGGAGGAGAGGAGAAAGTGACACACAATGAGGCAGCTGCAGCGCTTGACCTTGCCCTTCGCTACTTAGAACAACAGTCTACTGCCACGCCTGCAGATGTGATGTTCATGAGAAAATGGCGGAACTACGCGGCAAAAAACAGACTTACTAAACTGCAGCAAATGACAATGCGGGACTTCATGTCCAATAACAAGTAGGCCTAACCAAAGTTAATTTTTCAGTACGGTATGTGCAATATTTCTTACAAAATAATTCTTTGTTTTATTTGTTTTTTATTACGATTTGTAAATTTAAACTTTACGTAATAAACAAACCATTGTATTCCTTAATTGATTACTCTGTTTATACTTTATTTCAAGATGTTTTACCTTTCCCATTGTATTTTATATAGTGCAAATTTATTAAAATTAATATCGGGAACGTGTTCGGATTAAGCGGACGTTCGGATTAACCGTGTTCGGATTAGCGGGACTCAAGTGTATTATTATATGCTACTATTAGTCATTGCTATTATCTATACTATCCAATTTTGTTTTACACGTAAAATGCATCATGTTTTTAATATACATAAAAATGTTTAAAGTTTTTAAAAATAATTGATAAGAGCAATAGGTGAAACCACCATAGATAAAAACCATACTCCCTTATCAAATTTCTCATCCTTATGGAACAGCTGAAGCCAATTTTATTTTTGGTTTTGTCCAGTGCTGTAGATGTCATGTTTAGTTTACATTTTGTTTCCCAATATTTTAGTAATTTAAAACCTCGTTTAACCAAATAAAACAATCTAATCAACTCGTCCCCTAGCTATATAACCAAACAGTAAGACACAAATTATTAAATTAACCCTAAAATAATAGAAACCAAATTTAGTTGACACTAGCCATCAGTGTATAAACTAGAGGATGAGAAGTCTACTTGTGTTGGTTAGTTTATGGTGAAACCCACTTTGTATTTCTCCGTTAGCTAATAAACATAACAAATACTGAACGCATAAGATGTAAATAGGTTGTGAAGAATATAGCACTTTTTTCTTTCTTTCTTTCTTTCTTCAAATACTGAACGCACTTACGTTCCAAGCAGGTTGGCGCGTGCACATTCCACGCACACCAGTGTGGAGCAGGCGCGTGCATGTTCCTACGCGTGCGGGAGTGTGAGATTCTTCTTCTCGCCAGTCCCAACAGAGGGTGCTTCATGACCCCTCCTTATCTTGACGACTACGGAGAGACTGGTATTTATACATTTACATCTTAGTATAATCTTAGTTGCCTAAATTAAAATGTAAAAAAGTCAAAATCCAAATCATTAAGTAAACAAAAACTAATCTATAAAAAGCATAAAAGTACAGAAATAAGTAAAATGCACGTCAGTATCTTCATAAGGGTCGTGGGGACAGTTTATGCAACCTGCACTATGAACAAGTTTTTTTACAGTAATGTTAATAGCACAAATATTTTCTTTAAAAACTTTACTGCTAGTAAAACTTTTTTAGGTGAGTCGATGGCTCAGTCAGTAGCTTTACGGATTTTGAATCCAAGGCAGCGATGTCGTGGGTTCGTATCCTGGTCAATGCCACAAACATTTTATCAGTACAGTTCACCTTCGTACTACCGGCCCACCCCTTGCTTTGCTGGATACATTCCACGCAGGGGCAGTTAGTCTATTTGGACAGGCAAATGCAAGTTGTTATTAAAAAAACCTGGAATTGAGCATATTAGTCTCCATTTCGTTATATTTAGACAGATTTTAGCCACATGTAAGTAAAAATGTAGTGAACTTCATAAAGGTTGAAAATAAAATGTTTTTAAAATTGGGTGTCGGTTTACTAGTTTTTTGTAAAAATCCAAAACCGAGATTTGATGTTAGTTTTGGTTTATTGATTCTCCAAGACAATTTTTAGGTTAGTTCCTTCCGGTTTACATAGAGAGCAATTTGTTGATTACCATTTGTGTCTTTCAATTTCTATCCCTGACTGAGACTGGACTGGATTCAGTGCAACACTTATGAAGTACCCCTAGCAGGTCTTGGCTGAACTCACCACTGATCAGACTGATCGACCTGAGTATAAATTAATACACTGTAGACCTAGAAATGTGTCGGAGAATATATTAAGTTTTCACACATATGTTACTCTAGAGAGTCTGTTGCATTTATTCATGTTTATTCTCAAACTGTTAATTATTTACAGATCAAGGGCTGAGGCGAGGCAACCCCCTCCGCTTGTGTCGTGAGCGTTACCGTAAACTCCAGCTACTGTGGCTCAGTCACGGCATTCATGAAGAGATCGCTCGAGCCATCGAGTCGAGTAATAGTCTGGTGGCTACGCAGTGGCAGCATCTTTAAACGCTTTCTGGTCTCGTTAATTTATCGGTCAAACCTGTTCCCATTGTTGTTAACTGGGTCGTAAATCAATAGTTTATTTTTTTATTTGTTGATAAAATTTATATTTTCGGTTTCCAGATCTGTAATTGTAGTGTTTTTCATGTTGGGCTGTCTGTTGCAAAGATTTAAACCGTTAATTTTCACCGGGTTAGATTTTAAGCGTGTTGTGCTGAAATTTTATGTTATGAGTGGAATCAAACCAGTCGACGTGTTTAACGACTTTGTTTCCTGTGAATATTGTTTTTAAAACTCCTCTTGTTAAATGAATTCATAGTTTTATAACTAACGAGCTATTGATTTCTTATTTAACCTTTATTATCCTTAAAACAAGAGTAATATTCTTACGTAGGTTAAAGTAGTGTTCTTAAAAAGCTCTCGGTCCAATACAGTTTACAACCATTCGTTTCAGCTTTAACAATAACAATTGAAATGTTATTGAATAGTTTTAGCCCTTAAAGGATTGAAAATTGTTGTTAAATATATGTTTCATAAGTTTAAACACCCCGTTAAATAACTGATCTGCCTTCTAGTTAGTAGGTTTTAGTTCCTTTTCTGAAAACTTAAAACAATTTGTTTTTCAAAGCTTTTTCAAGACTCATTATTTTTAAACATGGTAAATATTAGGGCTCTTAAAAATTAAGTACAAACACTGCATGATATGGATTGTAATTATTCCATTTATTTAAAGACCGCATCCAATTTGTTTTTTCCAGACTTACTTTTTCTAATGATTGTATATAATGTTTGATATTTGTTATTTTAATTAGGAAATCATAACAAGAACCGTTCAGTTTCAACTTTTACATCACAATGTTAGGTTTTTTATGCTTTTCTGATGATGCAAAACAATCTATTTTATATTATAAAGCTTGAAAGTTGTATGAAACGTTTTAGCCTTAACAGCTATTAGATCGCTTTAAAACACATCTAGCCACAATAATAAATAGTTTGAAATGTTAATCCAATTATTGAAATCATGTTACGGATTTAAATATGTAAAGTGCATATTTTAGGCAAATCATTTATTATATTTTCAACTATAACTAACAACTTGTTTATAACTATGTCCTTTGCATTTGACAAAAAGACATTAATTCAGTATTTTTTACAACAGTTTGTTACACACCCATCTTGAGTTGTACGATTGAAAAATTAGGATTAGTTTAGTTCCTATTTGGTATTATTTTAACACTGAGTTATATTTCTGAAACTGTTCAAATTTATCTTGCTGATATTTTTTTCTCCCACCACCAATTCAACCAGCTGATTTAACTTGAAGGATAGTTACAGATAAGTTTTATTTATTAACATAAGTTTTATTTATACTGTATTAACTTTGCATCAAGTTCAGCTGTTTCCCATGTCATGTTCAATTTAACCTGCACAAGAGAAACATTTTTCAGTAACTTACAACTTCATACTCTCTGAAAACATTGTTTTAAAAAACTAATATGTTAGTGTTTTATATATATATATTTTTGATGAAGTGTGATATTTTAGTTTTACTATATAATTTAGGTCTTGTTTATGTTGTTGTTTGTAATTTAGAACCGGAAATAAAAATTATTTGCACATATGGTGAGTCTTTTTAACTGCATACAATGAATACAAACCCTTTAAGAAGCGAAATGCTTATGGAGAATGGTCAGACTGAAATTTTGCCGCTCAAATGAGCTTTGCGCTGCCGCTACGATCCCTCACTCAGCAGCCGCGCCACTCTATCTCTCTCTCTCTCTCTTTAACAGATTCTTTATCTCACTCAGTCAGTTGACTTGGCGGCGTGCTCGCGATAGTCTACCACGCGGCCGCCACTAGGATTATCTGACATTCGAATATTCCCAGACCAAATTTTTAACAAATGCATTGCGATTCTTATAAGTTTTGTATTCATTGCCACATCACAAGTACAGTGCACGATGGTGAATGAAAATAAGTCAACCTTGAGTGGATTGACTTTTTATTGTAATCATACCAACCAAAAAAATCATAAAGAAAAAATACAATGATCTTTGTGTAAAGAATTTTACATCATACTAAACAGAAACAGGTACTTTTCCATACTACTAACGACTTCAAAACGATAGGTTGTTAGGTGATGTTGCTCTTTGCCGTTCCTACACACGGAAAAGTAACTTAATGTACTTTTTCACCACACTATGATGTTTTTGGCTGTATTACATACGTTAATTGGTGGCTGAAAGTTACGTTTTGCTGGCCATGCCAGCTGTCATCGTAATTTGGGGACCGAGCAGGTTTTTACAGGCCGGAGCCGCAAAATCAGCTGTCCGCTTACTTACTTAAATCATGAATGCATTTTAAATACACAATCAAAATCCATAGCATTGCAATAGAATTGTGTTATTGTCACCGTTGCCTAGCAACAATTTATTTTTACGAGAGGTCGTCCAGTGGTCGAAACTCGACCAAAAATATGTAATGTACTCACTTCTCTATTTTCACCCCACACTGTAAATAAAACATGTGATTGGAGTTTCTTCCATTTGTTTTGATTTTCTGTTTATATTTTGTTGTTATTTCGTCACCAGCATGGCAACGCATAAGATCCATGTTATTTTTTTCAAATTTTTAAACTCATTTTTTGTGCTTATCTTTGAGCCTATTTAAATTTATAAAGGGATTCTGCACACCTACAGGATAATAGCTTTCTAACGGTATGCGTAGATTTACCCCACGATGCACACAAGCTGAGAAAAAAGGTTTCAAAGAAACATGCTTGCCTATTAATATATAGACGAGAGGTCGTCCAGTGGTCGAAACTCGACCAAAAATATGTAATGTACTCACTTATCTATTTTCACCCCACACTGTAAATAAAACATGTGATTGGAGTTTCCTCCATTTGTTTTGATTTTCTGTTTATATTTCGTTGTTATTTCGTAACCAGCATAGCAACGCATAAGATCCATGTTAATTTTTTCAAATTTTTAAACTCATTTTTTGTGCTTATCTTTGAGCCTATTTAAATTTATAAAGGGATTCTGCACACCTACAGGAAAATAGCTTTCCAACGGTATGCGTAGATTTTCCCTACGATTCACACGAGCTGAGAAAAAAGGTTTTAAAGAAACATGCTTGCCTATTAATATATAGATAGATAGATTTTTGCTGATTCCTCAAATTATTTCTTCACATAACCTTAAAGCTGTAGTTGTGTTGACTATCAGTGTGCATTATTATAGTGGTGAATAGTGGTAATAGGGTATAGTGTGGTGAAAAATAGCGTTCGTACCACGGACCGAAATGGTTTTGCAGCTCTCGATCGATATAGACCACCAACCACGTTATTGATCAGTTTAGTTTGGCTTTGACAAATTGACTTACTTACTCTTACTCGTGGCCATTGAAAACCAAGGTGGTCTTTGGCCTCGTCAACCATGTGCCTCCAGGATCCTCTGCCCTCTGCCAGCTCCCATACTCCTTAGGTCCTTTGTAACCTCGTCAATCCATCTCATCCTCGGCCTTCCCAATGGTCTCTTTCCCTCCAGCGTACCTCTTATCACTTGTTTTATCATATCTCTCTCATCTCTGCGTTGAATGTGACCCAGCCACCTCAATCTTCTACTCTTAACCACTCCCACAATATCTGGTTCCTTATATAATTCCCTCAATTCCGTTTTTTCTTATTCTCCTCGAGTCTCCGTTTTTTATCGGTCCAAAAATCCTTCTCAATACTTTATTTTCAAAAGTAATAAGTCTTTTTGGGATTTTTTTGTGAAAGACCAATTCTCTGATCCGTATAGCACTACAGGTTGCACTATGGTTTTATACATTCTTATTTTGGTGGTTTTTGATAGAAGTTTACTTTTGAATAGTTTTACTAAGCTCCAATATGATTTTTCTGTTGCCGTGAGTCTGTTTTGAGTTTCAACATCTTCTCTGTTATTGTTTGTGATTGTTACTCCAGATATTTAAATGTGTTTGCTTTGTGGAACCTGTAGTCGAATACTTCTGGTCTTCTTCATCATCTTGCCTACTTATTTTCATCTAGTTTGTTTTACTATCATTTATTTTTTAGCCCACTTTTCTTTTATTAAGACAAAGTAAATTAAATAGGTACTTTTAATTGAAATAGCGAGATAGGTAGATCGTAATAGGAAGTAGTAAAGTTGTAAAAAAAAAGATAGGTAGGTAATTAATTAGAAATGACTGTTACGCTGAATGGGCTTACAGCGAATGGCAAAGGGACCTACTGTTTATAGTGGAATCCGAACCATCTATATATATAATTCCGTAAGTCAAATTTTTGTAAAGAAATTGTGAGTGACTGGATGGCCGTAGAAGGATGGGAGGGGTCTTATTTTAAAGGTCTTGACGTGAATTTTGAGGGAAAACTATTCATTTTTCTTAATTATGTGCCAAAAGGGTGTAACAGAATAAAATAATTCACATTTAAATAGCATGGGAATCTAATTTTATGTGTTTTTATTTAGTGTAAACACAGCTGTGATTATATAAATTGAAAAAAAAGTTATAACTACACCTGAATGTGCATATGTTATTATTTTGTTATTGTAAAATTGTTTGTGAAGCAGTAAACAACACAAAGTGAAAATTAGATCAAATCTTTTGAACTGTAAACAATTTGATACTTTTAAGCTTAATACTTTACAACGGATTGTTTTTTTGCACAGTAATGTATAATGTCGAAAGACTACCACGCAGAGTTATTGTTCCTCGAAATGAAAACAACAGGCACCAGATTTGGCACAATATTAATGGAAGAAGAATAAATGAGCATCGGATGAACATGAATTTATTCCTGTGTATAAATTACTACTTTTAAATGAGATTGCATTACACATGGTAGGACCAAAGAACGATTTGATTTGGTAAAATTTTGGCGCAAGAACGAACCTTCACAAAAGTGGGCATTTATTTTTAAAAAACCCAGGGATTACCCATGGTCAACTATATGTTGCTTTCAGAAAAGTAAAGAGGCCAGATTATGTTAAAATAGTACTAGAACCATATAAAGACCAAGTAATCGACCGAAATGGATACTACAAAAAACAAATTGTTTCAGAGAGATTTTGTCGTAGAATTAGCAGTTTACAATTTCGATGATGACATTATCTCTATGTGATTTTCTAAGATAATTTATCTATATTTAAAGAAATCTATATAGATTTAATTAATAGTCTTAAAGATTGTTTATTGGAAAATGTTCCATAGTTGTAAATTATGATTAGAAAGTTTATATTATAAACACGGAATTTTAATTTTAAATAGAGCAGACATCAAAATGCACTATGCAGGTATGTAATAACTATTATACATATCATAATTTACAAAAATGTTAAATGATAATTCAAGGTAGGGTAATCCATGAGACTAATAATTTGTACAAAATAATTACCATAATATAGGGGCTATTGCCCCTACAAGCCACTAGTTTGCCTTGTAATTAACAAATTAGTCTAATCAGGATAGTACTGTGAATAGTGGTGCTAACTAGTGCAGACGGTAATCCACACCAGGGAGTATCGTATCCAGAGATTATGGCTGTAAATATCCACAATTTGTTACCTCCAAGTAGCTGGATTACAGGACGACGCCATCCATGGTCTACCTCTACCCTAATCTTTCTAGTATTCGTGAGCTTAATTAATATAATGTGCTAACTGCGTTAAGGCATATAGAGGTATTTTACCATTTATAAACGCAGCCAAATCAACAGAAAGTTGTAAAAAAATAGTTAAAGTTGAATTGTTTGTTTCTTTGACGAAACAAACCTTTTCACTGCAATAAAAAACCTTCCACGATATGAATAATAATTGTTCTTTCATCAAGGGATGCAAGATTGTGCACACCCAATTTTTATTTTACAACCCATGATTCAGCTCAGATGATAAAATTTGTGCTCTTATGTACGGTATCTCTCACAATTTCAAAACCAAAATTAAGTACTTTAATACGCCCATTATTTAGCAAAAATGGTCCGATTTTAGGTACAAATGTGTAAACCTACGTTCATTCGAACGATTTTGCTAACCAGCATAATCGGACTATGGGAACGGGAGTTTATGTGGTAAAAATGGATCTTTCCCATTTTTGACCCTAGAAACACAAAATTCCATAATTTCTCTCTAGACCATTTTGAAGAAATAAAAAAGCAAATAATTTAATATATTGAAGTGTTTTTGTATGTTCATTGATTACAGAGAAATTTCAAAAAAATTTAAATTTAATATTCCCATTTTATCTTATGGAGAATAAATAAACTGTTGTACTTTTCTTGTTTATGGAAATATTTTAATCAAATTTGGCAATTTCATACTAAGCTATCAATATTTCAATAAAAAAACACACCTCACATCATCCCCGTAGCAGGAAATCTAACTCACTAAAATCAATGTTATTTAAATAGGAGCTAAATCTGACAATTTTTACGGAATATTTTAGTAGAAATCAACCCGGGTAGATGGAAATTCGCTTAGTCTGCAGGTTTGCTGTGACGGGGGTATTTTTTACTTAATACTTTTCATCATAGCTATTACCATTAGGGGACTATGTTTTATCTATATTTTCATTGAATGGCGACTCGAGTCTCGAGTGTGGGATGACTCGAGTTGACTCCATTGAGATAAATAGCTCAGTGATAGGGTGATAGACTTGCGTTGGGTCTTGACTCGAGTCAACTTGACTCACCAACACAAACTCAACTCGTCACAAGCTCAGTGGTCAGTCAGTCAGTCATCCCTAAACCAGACTCAGCCGGACCCGGACTGAGTCTGGTTTAGTTTTAGGACTGAGTCAGTCCGATCCGATTCCAGACTCAAGCCAGCAGCCACCTCCAGAGCCACTCCAGCCCAGGTGACCGGCCCCCGGAATGGGCACACGGGAGGGACTAAGGCTAATGGTGTAGTGACGTCATACAGTATCTTTAGTGGCTAAAGTCTACTCTTGAGGCAACACGATTACCGTAACAAAACGATGTCTTTTCAGCGGCGTTCGTGGCATAGTTGGTAGTGTTTCGGATTGGTGTTCAAGAGGTCCCGGGTTCGAATCCCGCTGGCAGCACTAACTTTTTGTCAAAAAATTTTTCATATCAGCAAGTTTGGTTGGTTAGGTTAGGTTATAACAGTTTAATTTTATAATACTAAATTTTAAAATTAATTTTATAATTAATTAAAAATTATAAGTAATCATTAATTAGATTTTTGTCTTATATAGTTTTTATAATTATCAGCAAGTCTGGTTGGTTAGGTTATGCAATGACAGTTTAATTTTAAAAATCAAAAATTTATTTTATAATTTTAAAACAATATTTTATAATTAAAAAGTTAATTTTATAACTATAAATTAAAAAAAAATAATTTAAATTTTTTCACCTTAGCGGTTCTAGCGGCGAACGCTGACACTACAATATATGTTAGCCTTAGATGGCCTTAGTCCCTCCCGTGTGACCCACCGCCCAGCCCCCAGCCCAGCCACAGTCACAACAGCCACTAGCCAGAGCCAGTTGAGCCAGAGCCAGACCGCGCACCGAGCCGAGACCAGGACCAGGACCAGACGTCCACTGTCCAGACGACCAGACTACAGCCATGATGGATGATGAGCCATGTGCCCATGTGTGATGTACTTGGTGATAATGAGGAGATGTGACGCTGTGCTTGACGATTAGGTCCTAACTTACTTGAATTAATCAATTTCAATTTTCTTTTCAGACACGACTTTTCCGTGTAACTTAGAATTGCAAAACTCAAACACAATAGTTAAATTAAGTTGAACTCCCTTCAGACTTAAACATTATTTAACTAAAATAACTTTGGTTGAACTTTTGTAGCCTAACAACGAAAATGGAAACAGATAATCTTGCTCCCAAATTTATTCGCTTTTTGTTTTCATCCAAACCTAAATTCGACTGTTATTTTAAAGTCGGGAAAGAAGGCCAGGAAAACCAGGTAAGTGTCCTTTACCCACCAGTTCAAATAAAATTTGCTGTTAGAAATTAACCAAGGCTTAACTTAATAATTAGCCTACTTAAGATACTTAACACTTAGAATGAGTTAGGGATAGGACGGCTGCACTTAAGTATCTGTCCTACACTAGCCTAATTTTAATGAAAAATATCGCAAAAATATCAATGTCTAAGATGGACATCTTTATTTGAAGTGGGCCTCTTCCGCCAGCTAAACTTATGCAACACATTTTTTAGCTGAGTAAATTAAGGTATGGATTGCACATGTACCTACAGGATTCAAACCCGCTCATGTAGGCCTAAAAAGACCTTAGCGCTATACTAATCAGTGTCATGCCTTAGTCAAGTGAGCCACCATCGGCCTATACCTACATTAGCAACTAACAAGCACACTAAACTTAGCGCTCGCAGGTGCGATTCAACGAGCTAGGCCTATCAATTAATTTATGCTCATTCCCATTCGGCTAACTTATGTTCGACAAAGCCTATTGTAAACAACTTAATGGCCTAAATGAATCTTGAGCTATAAGCCCCTAAGTTAAGTTAGGCCTAATCGGGCTTGGGTTTTAAAGTTTTTAGCTAAGTTTAGGGTAGCCTAATTTTTTTTTAAACTAAGTTAACGCTATTTCTGAAAGACATGTTTTTAGGTGAGGTTTATTATACTGTAGGCCTATTGATCAGCTTGTGGGCTTCACTCACCTTAATTTGTTAATCCAGGACTCGTCAATGTAACACAACGAAGACATACAACACACACATACACGCACCTAAAAAATCGTCCTTGGATTTACTCCGACATTTCGCGGGACCAATGATAATGTCCCGCTTCCTCAGGGAATTAAAACTTTATTTTTCCCGCGTACACGAGCTGAACGCCTAACCACGACTCAAACAACACTAAGTATGTCGAGTTGAGTTACTGGTGTGGACAACTTAAAAAGTCTCGCAGGAGATAAGTAATTTTGGACACCTTAGGCTAACTTACCAAAAAGGTAAAAATATTGATATTAAAAAGGATACTTTTCTTTTCAGCATCTTAAGTATAAGCTAATCCATATAAGTTAGACCCAGTTGTTCTAGCCTAACTTGCAGTAGCCTACTACATAAGTTAATGGTTGGCAGAACTTCAATGGTCATGGCTATATTAGAAGTACGATTCTGGCCAGACATTAGTGACAGAAATTAACTTAAACAAAGGTTGAATATAGCTCAACCGATTAGGTTAACTTAAATTTACATTTATGTGTCTTGCGTAGAACTTTTTCACACTGAATCCGAAAATGCAACCCGTTTTCAAGCAAAAGAGTAAGCTTTGCTTGATCTGTGAAATGTTATGATCTCTATTAGCTCTATTAGAGTAAAAAATTAGAGAAACCCATTTTTACCCCATAAAACCCCCAGTTGAACCTTGTTCCCATGGTCCGATTATTGCCGGTTAGTGAACTCATTCAAGTATATCGCGCCTAACACCTTCAAACCAAATTTTATCGAAATCGAACAAAGTTACGAAAGTTATCGTCTTTACGGACACGTGTGCGTATATATATATATCTTCCCCAGAAGATGCTTTTTGCAGTCAAAACAATGGAAGCAGCTTAATGTTCTCATTTTGAGTTCCTTTGGGTTGTCTTTTAGGAAAACAATCTGATGGGTCTTCATGGTTCCTTTAAATGGAGGAAGAGATTGTGGAATCATTTGCTTGATAGCTTTAATATCATCTTCATGGACAACACAAAGTACTATATTTCGAGTATTTTCCTGCAGGACCTCAACCAATCTTGGCAGGCTATCAATGTCATGTCCTTGTGCAACAACTGTGTCAGCTGTCCTCTTCAAACAGCCGCCGATTCCATCAGGAGCTCCCTTCCCGTGACCAGCAGCTGAATAGTTCCATGTTGCCACAGAAATGTGGTCAAATGATGCAGTTATGGCACTACCCAGTAAATAGAATATAGTGCGATTTCTGTACTGAGTGGCTGGGCTATCTGAGAGGAAGTGAACAGCCTTGATTTTGGGAACAGTGTTTTTAATCATCTGAAAAACGGGCTGTAGATGAGCCCAGACTGCATGAGGCCCATGGTCTAAACTTTGCGATAAAGTGCACATGGATTTTGAAGATACTTGGCTGTAAGCATCTTTTTTAAAGTAAATTTCACAAGTGTGGAGTGTAATTTGTTTGCGACTTCCACCAAAATGAAACGACTGTACCTCTGAAGCGTATTTAAGTGAATAATTTTCACTATAATCCATGTGGATTAGTATTTCTTCTTCGTTCAGCCTCTTCTTAAGGAATCTAAGGGCTCGAAATTGGTGTGAAATGATGCCTTCATGGAATTAGAACTTAGGAAATTCTTTTTCAAACAAGTCAATGGCTTCTAAGGCTGTCATTGTTACAGTTTCTTTAACTGTGTGTTTGGTTTGCTTTTCTACACCATTTTTATTTTTGTATGTTTCCATTTTGTTTACCCATCTACGGAAACAAACTTCTGATGATCCATCAAATAATAAGTAGGGAACCATAAGATCTTTACAATTAGTGCAAGCTCTTTGCAAACATGACGGGTTTTGGCTGTCGCAGCACACAAGGTTAACAAGATCACTAGGCTGAGAATGGCCAATTATGTTAGCTTTGAATAAGCTTGAAGTTAGTAGCTCCATGTTTGCATGGATTGTGCACATACATGTGTCCCTTTCGTTTTGTTTGCGAGAAACGATCCAAAATGGTCTTAGCTTTGTGAAGGTGGTGTAGCTTATTTTGTAATCAACCTGCTTACAGAAGAGGGTGTGAAGCTTTTTAAGAGAACTTGAAAGAATTCGTTTTTGTTTTTTTACCTTTTTCTTTGTAATACAGTCCTTTTTCCCGGGACATAACTTTGAATGTTCATCATCCTCAAGAAATGTTTGCACGTCTTGTTTAACCTTATCACTTATCTTCAACATTTTTGTTCGCATTACGGAATTATTCGTAAGTAAAACACGTTTTTTCCTAAACACTTTTTCTGATATAGATCTCAAGCCTGATAGAAGACGATATTTTTTAAAAGTTTTGGTGTTCCCGCATACAATTTGTCCAAATTTTCTTTTTTCTTTTTTCAAAAGAAGTCCATTGAAACTTTCATGTAGCTGGCGTTTACAGATTTCACCGAAAAGTAGACGTCTCCTAACTTCTTTCTTGTCTCCAGATTTCATTATCCGAGCCACAATCTTACCCGGAGAATTCTTGTCAGTGCTTTTACTTATTTGATGTTTTAACCTAAAAAACTTTTGACGCCATTTGTTTGATAGTTTCTGTAATTCTTTATTCTTTTTCTTAAGTTTCACGTTGTCTCTTGCTACTTTAGCCCTATTTTTCTTCACTTTCTTTCTCCCAGATTTCCGTCGAGATTGAAGTAGGCCTAAGTTGTCTGGTATGGGAGCTTGGACATCGTTGTCACTTTCAGGAGGAGTGTTACTTGCCAAAAAGCTGACTGCCTTCCCTTGTGTTTTTTTCCTCTCGTAAGATCTTTTAGCCCTCTCCCTCCATGCCTTACGTTGAGCCTTCAGATCCCTTACGCTTGTGATGTCCTTCACTAATTTTACCTGACCTTTCTTCTTCTTCGTGGCATACTTTTTTCTTTCTTTTTCTCGTTCTATTTCTAGCAGTATCGGATCATTTTTTATTCTTTCTCGTCTTCTTTTTGCAGCTTCCTTCCAGTATGCCTTCATCTCAGCCTGGCTCCGTTTTCTTCGAGGACTCATGACTAACCTGGAATTAATGACTTTGTTAACATTTTGTATAAAGTTATATTAATTTTTTTCATAATACAGGCTTTTTTATTAGGCCATATTATTTAATCATCCATTAGTAATATGAATTATTTTAATTAAGTATGCATTCAATTTATTTTGAGTTCCCTTATTTTTTTATATTTTTTTTACCATATCATCCCCTCACACTCTTACAAAGAAACACCATTTTTTCATAGGCCTAATTAACTAAGCCGGTAAATGGAAATACACAAGTTGCAAATACGTTTTATCAACATTTAATCAACAATTTTATTCAAAAATTGCAAAAAATCTCACTCCCTACAAGAAATTTTCACTCCCTACAATTTAGAAATCAGTGAACATTGTAGGGAGTGAATGAGTAGGGAGTGAGGTTTTTACCTTTCAAGGTCATTACAGACTAGTCAACAATAGAAACTGGCTATTATGAAATGTAATCAATAAATGAGCAATTAACTGCACTTATTGTGTATTGTATAGTTATATTTCACTTACCAGTACGAAAATGCATCAAGAGTAGGTAGTGAGGGTCAAAAAAACCACGCATTTACTTGACTTTCCAGTGACTTCAGTAAATCTCACATGGAATGGTCTAGAAAAGTGAAACAAACCTTACAGACGCCATATTAGATCAGGGTTGCCAATAGCACTGAAACTGCATGAAAATTTCCCTTCTCTGTCAGTTGAAAATAATTATTGAACTTTTTGTAGGGAGTGATATTAAACTGTGTGACACACTTGAAACGAACGAAAAAGTTGACTTGCATTAGTCTAATTTATTTTTCAAAGGCTTATATTAATTCTAGACATAACATTGTTCCATAATATCTCAGTTTTAAGCTTCCAATATATATGTTCCACGAATAAGAGGTTATGAAAGTTACTTACCTCTAGCCAGTGACAGTAGTAGGGAGTGAGAAATCAGCACTTTAGTATTTTTTCCTGGATTCCCTGGTTGCTGTTTTCACCAATATACCCATGGTACTTCAACATCCTTATGGGTAGATCATAATAAAAATTTTAGATAAGAAACCCTGTGTTATTTGACCCTAATATTTTCCATTGACATAAATGAGACCGAATTTTTGAAATGACCCATATATTGGCTATAAATCAAAATATAAGATTTGTTGGAACGCGTAGGTCTACACCTAAGTCATGGAAAATATTCAGGAACATATTAAACCATTGTTAAATGATTTACGCACAAAAATAAAATGTTAACTGTAACTGTTTACTGTACCTAATTGTTTTTATTAATTGCACATTAAGTTACCAATTTCCAATTTATCTTTTTAAGGAAAGGATTGGAGCTGTCAAGTTGATGTTGATGGCTCACAGTGAAGTTTTCAGACTGGAGTTAGAAGACAGTGGGTTGGTAGAGAAGAAAGATGTTCCTGTCATAGACATCCATCCTGACACCTTCAAAGGAATGTTGAAGTGAGTTTATTGTGTTATTGATACAAGGGGATGGCTTGTTGACAAAGATTTTAATTTATTGTACACAAAGTAAAAAAATAACATCACAAATAAAATAAAATTTCAAATTACCGTACATTAAAATACCTATTTAATCAACCAGGTTTTTGTATAAAATATGTATATATAAAATCCAATGTGGGCTCTGCCCCAGTGGCTCTGGAGGTTCCCACGTTAACCTTATGAGTACTGATATTTAAATGGAATTAAAGAATCTTAACAGCTGGTTCAACTAAACAATTTTATTCTGTGATGTTCAATAACATTAAGGGTGTTTGGTCAAAAATTAAAATTCAAATTTTTATGCTGGAATGTGTTTGTTGCAATGTATTAAAACTAGAATGAGGTTTTAAAAAAATCAAAAAAATTTTTTTTTTGAGAATTACAAGGGGTTAAAGTGCTGATATTTAGGTATTTTTGTACTAACAATCAAAGAAACCCATTGGGAATTTTTAAATAAAAAAAAACATTTTCGTATTATATATTTCTTCCTTTAAGCAATGAATAAAATTATTTACGAAAAAAAAATATTTTTTTTATTTTTTTTATTTTACAACTTGATTATTAGTTTAGTGTAATACTAGAACTTAATGCTAGCAGTTTTAATATATCTGGGTTTAATCAGTTAGAGTAAAGACATTTTTTAATAGTTTCTATGTGTAACAGTTCTGTCTCAATATTGGTACACGTAACACCAAGTCAAGTCGGCGCGCGGCACTGCAAGTGTAGTGGTGATCATCTACAGTGCCCGCACGCGCCGTCTACGCCAAGTGCGCACGGCCGCGGGCTGCCTTGGTCTTCGCTCTCTCTCCCACCTTTCCTCTCTCCACCTCGCACACCTGTGGCCCTTCCCACACTGTCTTGTTTGGCGCGAAATCTTCACCATAGCGGAGACTGCTTATTGAGTGTTACGGTTGCTACGTTTTTTTTTTCAAATTGTTGTTCTAGTAGGTGTGCTGTAGGCCTTATTTTAGATTCAGTAGGACATTAATTAGCCTAATAATGGCTAGAAAACCACGTCCATGCAAGCGATGTAAACGGTCTAGAGCAAGGAGGATGGTGATAGAAAAGAAGCTTAAAGAAAAACTGGTTAGTTCACAAGTGCGGTCAGACAGTGATCCAGATAATAAAGACGAATCCAGCGAAAGCATATTTAACAGACTGCTCACAGAAGAAAGGTAAGTTTCAATTTATGTTTCTCTAAATATAGAGTTTGGTTAAGATTATGTACCATATATTGCCAAATATTATACATTTAATTTTAATACATTTTGTAATTACATTAATGGCTTTAGGAATCAAGAAATTCACAACAAAAAAGGATTATCAGTAATAAAATTTTCAGTGTTTGGGCTAGCCCTAAAATACTAGTAATTTTGTTATCAAATTAACATCTACAAATGTCGACTGAAATCTACAATTTTGCATATAATTAGATTTTTTTAAAGCGTAATATACACTTAATTTACAGTTCATGATACTGATTTTAATGTTATTTTAATAACAGAGCCGTATAGGTATAGTATAGGTAATATGTATGTATAACGTTTAGGTATGGTAATATGTATGTATGGTTATTTAAAAACTGAGTTAATACAACGTTTTTTTTAGTCTTTCCCACATGATGGTAATTCGTAAAAAATCCAAGTTCTCCTAAGAAAAATACTAAATTAATAAAACATTGACATAAAAAAACGTATTCTTTCTTTTTGATATTTTATTCTTTCATGGTATTCGCATTATCCAAACATTCTACCTTTACCGTGGTGACCAATTACCAAACGACATGCTAACCAGAATTGCTATCAATAACTTAAACACCTTCGATTATTCCATGTCTAGGAACTCCCTAATACAATTGTTGCACCTTGTTTCAGGTGTGCGCACTGCTATAAAGGAAGCTGGAGTAACAAAAAGTAAAACAGACGTCGACAACCTCCGACACGACATCAAGAACTGCATTGACCACGTGTTTGGTGATCATGGAAAGTGTAGAGGTGAATTTTGTAAAAGAAAAGAAGAGAAAAGCACCCTTAACATGCTAGACAGCCAATTCCTCTCCGAATTAAGAAAACAACTTGGGAGAGTTGAGTCCAAGGCAGAAAGTTTAGTTCAAAATGAAACGACTAATAGGGCAGAGCAATACATGTCTTTGGTAGCAAAGTTTACTGGAGGAAAACGTTTGAACTTGACTTCCCGTGGGTCGTACAGGGTGCGATGTTTTGGTGCTGGGCTATCTCATACCACCGGTCCTTAGTCCACTGAAACGACTAAACAAAAAGAGTCCGGGAAGGATTACAAAATTAGTAATCGGCTCTCGTGAAAAACGGCGAATAAAGAGACGTTTAATGTACCTAGAAAAAGGGTGCCCCAAAAAAAAGACGCGTCAAGGCGGGTACGACTGTGAATATGGCCCCTTGACAATCAAACCGGATGTCGAAGAAGAAGTCTTGGAAAGAAAAAAAAAAACGACATCCTGCGGACCTTGGAGCTGACGAGATAGAAAGTGTTGAAAGAGAAACTGTGGGCCAGCACAGCAACATAATTTGGCACGACAAACGAATGAATAGATTGACGGCCTCGAAATTTGGTGTGGTAGCCAAAAGACTACCACAGACATCCTGCCATAACCTAGTGAAAAGCATTTTATATCCTAGGGAATTGAAAAGTAGTGCCATTCTGTTTGGTAGGGCCCATGAGGATGTGGCCATTGAACATTACGAAAAAGAAACAAACAACATAGTCCATAAATGTGGACTGTTCGTCTATCCCGATGCGCCGTATCTCGCAGCAAGTCCTGATGGTCTCGTGGGTGACGATGGACTTATTGAAGTCAAGTGTTTGCCTTCGGTAAAAGAAAATACTCTGGAGGAAGCCATCAAAACTATGAAGAAGAAAGATTTCTGCCTAGAAATGAGAAACGGCGAGATACACCTAAAAAAACACCATCATTACAACTACCAGGTAAATAACTAACTAATAAATCAATAAAGTAACTGTAAATAAATAAATAACCTCGCAAAGGATCCACCTAAATGAGGTACATACAATTGCCTATAATGTAGATCAATTCCAAATTGAAACTGTAACCTTCGTAATATTATATATAAAATTATCCGTTGTTTATTCCATTTCAGATTCAAGGGCAGTTACATATTAGTAACAAAAAATGGTGTGATTTCGTCGTTTACACCAGAACGACGCCATTATTTGTTGAGCGAATTGACCGGGACGATGACTTCTGGAGCAATAAAATCCTACCTAAGGTAAACATTTTCAAATGTAATCCACAAAAATATTAAATAACTAAATATGCACACATTTTAATAACAATAACCCTTGGTTGGGATCAAGAATTTTGGCACTAATATTTATTACAAGAATATTAAAAAAATATTATAAAAATAGCTGTTGCATGAAAACCCTGACAATTTTTACTTACTTGGGGAAAAAAACAGTTAATTTTTTTATTGAATGGCTTAGTGACTAGGGGTGTTATATCTTGACTGGTTTTGCAGTTAGAAATCTCATAATTCAGTACCTATACTGATTTTGTAATCAAAGAATACCTGCTATTTACTACAACAATGCCTCAATTATTGACAAAAACTCCCAACGTGTAAGCAGTGTCAATTGCAGTGCGGGGAGGGTAGTCTTATAACTTGGTCTAGAGGCAGGTGCCATTGACCTTGTGCATTCCCCCTGCCACTGAACACCAACCCGCGACGGCGTGCCTTCTACTCTCTACTGACGCACCCTAACACCCCCCCCCCCCGCGCACTTCTGTGATAGCTGTGATCGTTGGCCTACGTGCGCAATCTTTCAGGGGGTGATTGGCTGAGAGATAAACTATTCTTTCTAAAACCTAACACATAAACCGTGATGACGACTTCTGCCAGACAAAAATTTACCATAATTTAATTGTTTACATTATTATGATATATGTACAGTATATAAGCGTCTATTGATTGTTACGACATGGTTCCGCAAAACGGCACACGGAAGATTTCTCAGGTGCCGTTTGACGACGTCACTTTGAGGGAACACCATTACCGCAACGAGACGTATATGAACCATCGGCCTCCGTGGTGTAGTGGATAGCGTGTCGGGCTGATAATCCGAATGTACCGGGTTCGAATTCCGTTAGTAGCATAAACCTTTTGTCAAAAATTTTTTCCATTATCAGCACGTTTGGTTAGTTTGGTTGGGTTATGACAGTTTAATTTTATAATAAAAAAATTATAAAATTGAATTTTAGGCATTTATAATTTTATTTTATGAACAAAACTATTTTTTAGATTAGTAAACCTTCATTTGATTTTTAAGTAAACAATGATTTTGCTAGTAAACAATTCGATAGCAATTATATTATATCTATTGAATATAAATATTTAGCAATAAGATTTTTATTTATTTATTGTTTGAACATACTTGCTCACATTTTACATCTCTTTCTCTTTGTTTATAAATTATAATATATGTATGAACTTATTACAGGTAACTCAGTTCTATTTGGAGTGTATGCTACCAGAGATAGCAAACAGTCGCATCCAGCGTGGTCTAAAATGTAGAGACCCACCTTACATACTGGAAGCAAAGTATTCAAAGGAAAGAAAAGAGAGGGCGAACTCAAGGGCGAATAAATAGGGGCCTTAGACATGAATCATACTTCACTATCTTATTGTATCTTATTGGCAAATAAAAAAATATCTGTGTGACTTAGTTTCAAATATTAATATTATTACTGCAACCCTATTACAGCCAGTGTGTTAAAAAACAGATTAATTATTGATACATTAATAAGTATTACTATAATAGTAAGCGCAAACACCAATAAACATAATATAGTCAATTTGTATCAGTTAGCAACGTGATTTGGTTTAGGGTTGCTAGCCCGTACCGAGGATACGACGGGCCGTGCCCGTACCAGGCCTCGCGTATACGAGAAGCAGTGATGCAGTGTGTCGCGTGATGAGGGGTGAGGGGGGACAGCTCTAACACACACCTACAGCGCTGCCTCCAAACGGACATCCAAGCGCGCGCGGTGGCGACTTGTAGAACTACTGCTCCTCACCTTCAGACTAGCCTAGCGCCCAAACAGCCTTAACAAGTTATAGGTTTACCAACAGCACTATTATTTTTTTTTAATTTATGACATCAGCTGGTTTGCAACCAAAAGGTGAGTGAGCGTAGCGAACTAACTTCAACCTGGAGGCGAGTTAGCGTAGCGAACGAGCTAACCTGAAGGCTAGTGAGCGCCGCAAACGAGCTCTAACCTAAAGGGGACTGGGGAGTGAGCGTAGCGAACGAACTTCAACCAGGACGTGGTTGTATAAAATAAAATGTTTACCATATCACTAGGCCTATTAACTTAGGTCTTAATACTAGGTCTATATTTAAATGATTTACAGTAATTTATGTACATAGGCTACTACAAATTTGGTAGGTACTAGGTAAGTAATTTATAAAAACATGTCACATACATTTTTTAAGAGTTGACTACAGATACGTTATATCTAATTCATAGCCTACTCAGTTTTCTTATATACTTTTCTTTCAAAGATCAATAGCATACAATACCTTAGTACTGTAGAATTAAACTGCAGTGAGGTGCTTCAGAGTCCAAGTAGAAATCATTGTAATTAGGATGTCTGCATTTTCAAAATTTAATCAAAAACATCAGATTTTATGTAACTTACATAGGCTACATATACATATAAGCTTACATTCGGATACACTAACATTTGTCACTCACAAAAAGACAAAATATACATAAATGTTTGTCCCATAGGCGATCAATCTACAGCAGAAGGCCTACTGCTTTAAAAAATCTAGATAAAATACCAAAACTCTAAATGTAGAGAGGGTTTATTTTTGTGAATTTCCGCATAGGGAAGTAGCTATTTGGCATGGTGGTAGTCCGATGACCGATTCAGTCTTGTTGCAGCTACATTTGCCGCTAAGTAGTGGGGGGAATTAAAGACCACAATGTTAAGGTTGTGCTCTAGAAGTGATGACAATATTGTGTAATGACGGTGCAGATTTACCAAACATGGGCTCTTTTCAGTGTTTCCATACACGGGAATTTTATCCCAAAAATTGTATTTTTAGACCATGAGCAGGATTGAAACGGGATGCGGGATAGAAACTGGATACCAAAGACAAATATAATAGTAGCCTAATGTTTAAAAAACTAACAGCCAAATTCCGGGAAATGGTTCTATGGGTCAAAATAAAGAGAAAATCAAGAATCACATTTTTTTCAACCGATCTTTATAAAACTTGGTATGTAGGTTAAGGTAGAAGGGATCCATGTTAGAAAAAGTTCATCTTGATCCAACATAAAATTTCAAAATGGCGGCCATTTTAATTTTTTTAACTAAAATTAGTCCTACTCAAAAACGGGAAACAGTATTAAAAAATGCCAAAAACACTTTAATTTAGCATTTTCAATACCCTTTCAAACGATACCAAGTTCAAAAAGGTCGAATAAGAAATGGCTGAAATATTATGATTTTTAGTTGTAAAATGAGGCATACCGGACTAGCTTCTTTCTTATTATTTTCTAGCTACAGTAGAACTCCGATTATCCGAATCAATAGGGACCAGACCCCATTCGGATAATCGGAGTTTTACCGGAATTCCGGGAATTTAAAAAAAAAAATCCTCATTTTCGGTACTAAGTGAACTTTTAATTAATAATAATTTAAATCAGAACATTTTTACAGTTTACAAGGCTCGTAGTACAAGTGTTCTATACATGTTATTAAGTCAATAGTGTTCCATCAAAGTCCAAAATTGGCTAAATGTGTTTAATAACAATTCTTTGATATTTTGCAAAACTTATTACTGTAGCTTTACGTTTTTAAAATTGTCGAAATAAGCGATTCGGATAATTGGAGATTCGGTTAATTGGAGTTCGGATAATTGGAGTTCTACTGTATTTCTTTTCAATCTTTTTGAACTTGGTATCGTTTGATAGGGAAATTTAAATGCGAAATAAAAGTGTTTTTGGCATTTTTCCATAAAATTGGCCGCCAATTTGAAATTTTAAGTTGAATCAAGATTATTTTTTTCTAACATGGGGCTCTTCTACCTTAACCTACATACCAAGTTTTATAAAGATCGGTTAAAAAAATCCAAAAATTAAAATGTTTAAATGTAAAAAATTCAGAATGGTGGATATCTGGTTAACGAAGCGATTTTGGAAAAAAATTAATGCTTGATTTTCTTTTTATTTTTACCCATAGAGCCATTTCCCGGAGTTTGGCTGTTTACTTACAGGGCACCCTGTATATTTAGAATATACAATGTAGATTGCCGTTGTTATTATTATGAACTGCTTTATTAGATGTAACACAATTTTAACCTGTTTCAGATATGTTTATGGCTATGACACTACTGCTACAATGGCTTTTGATGAGGCAGACGATTTACTGTATGTTGCGGAGAAGTATTTAATGAAACCTTTGAAAGACAGCCTCGCTGCCAGACTGATGACACTTTTGAACAAAGACAACATTTGTTCCTTGATGAACAACCCTGCCTGTTACACTCATCTGGAGTTGGACTCTGCCATTACCAAGGTTAGTTTGAGTGTTTTTGTACATAGAAACTAGCCTTGAAGTAGGTATACACCTGAAACAGAAAAACACCCGTCCCATTAGGCACAACAAAAGTTGTTGTTCATTTGCAGGTTATGGCAACCTCTCCCACATTTGAGTTATTGACAGTGCCCCACATTTAATTACTTAAAAGTAGGAATGTATCGATTCTTGGACATTGGTATTTATATTGAGAACCGATCGTGTAAACTCAATACCGATACCTGAAATATCTGCGAAGATCAGTGATCGGAAAATTACCCTTTTGCTGCAGTCGTGGATGACTTTCTTGTAACCGTGATGATGTTTACTCGACCGCTGGAGATGTGCGCGTTTTGCTGACGATGACGTCTTCGTGATCAAGTTATTACCTCGGTCTGACCAAAAAGCTCAAACTGTCATTCCTCTCTTTATACCTAATAAATTTCCCTTTGATAATTGTTTTCAAGATTCGGTTTCATCTTTGATATTATATTTATTGTGTTTTTTAAGGGCTTAGATCTACATGTTAATTGGTTAGTTATAACTTTTCATTGCTGCTTTAAACAAATTTATACTTCTAAAATATCCCATCATTCCAAAATTACTGTGTCTAAGGAAATAAAGGCAGAGGTTGGTGTTGTATTACCAATCCATATCGATGGTTGGGTAACATTTGAAAAAAATTTGTATCGGTGTTGCAAATCGATGAATTTTGGCATCGATACATCACTATTTACGAGTTTATTTGTCACAATGTTCTAAGCAGTGAGAGAAACAGAACGTGTTAAAAACAAACAGCACTACAAAGTATATAACCGCTCTAATCACTCATTAATGCAGGAGCAATATTTCCTCCAGCCTTTTAATGCTGACCAGATCTGACAACATTGTCACAAGTTTTTTTTTTATCAGAGCCACAAAATAAAATAGCTAAAACAATTCATTTTATTTGATCAACCACTTAACAAAAAATTGAAAGAACAATGGGATATTGATCTAGTTTGTTCAATGTCTTAAATATAATTTATATATTTTTTTACTGATTCACTGTTTGTTCATTAATAGATTTTGAGATTCGAGACGGATCAAGTGTTAGCAAGCCCAGAGTTTTTGTCAATGAATTCCGACAGTTTCCTCAAGATTTTGGAACAGGACGAACTTGCAGTTCCTGAAATAGAATTGTGGAGAGCAGCGATTAAATGGGGACAACACAGAGGTAAGAATTTAGATCTCAAAACTTAGTTTACTCTATGCAAACCGAGGTTAAATTTGAGTGCAAGGAGAGTGTAGAATGGAGGAAGATGATCTGGGTAGCTTTGTTGAAATGATTCATCAAAAAGTGAATTTGTTTCCATTTCTTACTATTTTACAATATTGAAGATTTGTACAGTACATAAAACAACAACCTTCTGTTTGTGATATACATGGTGTCCCGGAACTCTCTACCAATATTTTAGAGCATTGCTAATGGGTAAGAAACATACCTAAATATCATATTTAAATTGTCCGGAAGTCCTTAACACAGCCGCCATTTGGTTTTTTTCAGTTATTAATTTTTTTCTAAAGAATGGTTAAACATAAGAAATGGAAACTTTGCACGAACAATTATGACAACTAGACAAAGCTACCAAAAAATTAAAAAGATTTTTCAAATTCATAAAACAAAATGGCGGCCATTTAAAATTTTTATAAAATCAACGGTTTTTGAGTTATTTAAGAAACAAAATTTTAAATGGTCGCCATTTTGTTTTATGAATTTGAAAAATCTTCATAATTTTTTTGTAGCTTTGTCTAGTTGTTATAAATGTTTGTGCAAAGTTTCCATTTCGTATGTTTAACCATTCTTTAGAAAAAAATTAATTACTGAAAAAAACAAAATGGCGGCTGTGTGAGTAACTAAGGACTTCTGGACAATTTAAATATGATATTTAGGTATGTTTCTTACCCAGGAGCAATGCCCTAAAATATTGGTAGAGAGTTCCGGGACACCCTGTATAAGCAACTATTGCTGTAAAAAAAATATACAGGGTATTAAAAAAAAGGTGGAAACATAATTTATGTAGGCCTAGTGATTTCTTGGGTCAAAATATTAAAAAAAAATCAAGAATTAAAACTTTCCAAAATCGCTTTGTTAATTTGCAATTTTGTATTTTTTACATTGAGACATTTTTATCTTAGGATTTCTTCAACCGATCTTAACGAAAATTGGTATAAATGTTACAGTATAAGAGGCTCATGTTAGAAAAAAGGTTACCTTGATCTAATTCAAAATGGCAGTAATTTTAATTTTGTACGGATGGGAGATTGTATTCTTGACATTCTCTTGCTGTAGTATTTTAGCCTACTTTCAATTGCTGCCAAAGTGTGTTCTGAGGCTTTGAGACTCTGAATTTTAAAATTTTAAGGTGTTTTTTGCTGGGTAATTTTCATAAATTTTACTTCTTGATTGTTTCTTTTACGTTCTTGACTTATTTTTCTAGATTTAATATTACTATTACTTTACCTTCATTTTACCTAGTCTTGATCTTCAACATTGTTGTTAGTCCAGCTCTGAGTTGTCTATCTTTGATTAGCTGTTGTTGCTCAGCTTCATTTAAGGTTTCTGTTTCTGTTATTAATGTTGTTCGTTCTAATAAATATCCCTTCTCGTTTTCTTGTTTTAATTTATTGTTTTCTGAAGTTAGTGCATTACCAACTTCGTCAGCTAGGGTTAGGGATGTTTCTAGGTCTTCTGAGCTGGTTTCTACTTGACATGCAGAGGTTGTTACAATCTTTTGATGGATTAAAGGGGTTGAACATGCAGGCAGAAGAGGGGTTGAGTCCATTTGAAGTTAAACTTCTTTGGCTGATTCCTCAGGTCCAGTTAAAATTTCCAAATAAAATATATTATAAGTTATAGTGGATACAATTTATACTCGGAGATTTGGCTAATTCCTCAGGCTCAGTTAAAATCTCTAAATAAAATAAACAATTGTTATATTTATTAACATTTTATTCATACTTTACACTTATTTATCAAACTATGAATGAATGAATGAATAATATCTTTATTCCAACAAAGTATTTACAGAATATGTACACAAAAATTTTAAGGAAAAACATAACTTAAGTGAATTTAAAAGAATAAAATAAAATTAACCTTTGCATTACATCTATGTTTAAGAAAGCGTACATGTTTTTGAGGAATAAGCCGACATGGCAGCGAGCCTGTGCGTCGTCTGTAGTTGCGTCCTAACATAACATTATTTATAAACTACAATAAATAAATATATGACAGAAGATATGATGAGGTGAAAATATGATGTAAATGGAGTTACAAGAACAAATTGTGAGATGAATAACTATGTGAAAAATATTAGGTGGCATAACTAAGTTTAAATAAAAATAATTGAACTGTAATAGTGACAGGAATTCTACGGCTTTCAAAAAGTGTGTCTAGAGGGGTGGGGCGGGCGGCGGAGAAGGAGTCAGGGTCAATGGTCAGGTCGCATGTCGTGTCAGAAGCGTTTGTGTCCGTAGTCAGCTGTGATGATAAGCTCAGCCTCGTCCCTGCCTAGACCAAGTAACTACTCATTGACACGGCGTTTGAATATGTTTAAAGTGGGGGAGTCAAAGAAATTAACACTTTGAAAATAGTTTTGTAAGTTACGAAATAGAACGTCTGCGATATAAAATGAGTTGGTCGATGAAAAGGATTTGTACAGTTGTATTGATGTAATTCCAATTCGGGTAGAATATCTAGTATTATGTGTATAGGAAATTGTAGAGAAAATGTTGCTATAATTTTAAAAAATGTGACTTAGAAGATTTTTTATGAAAAGTTGTCTGATCGTTAAAACTGACACATCCTTAAAGAGAGTGTCAGATAGGTAACGCCTGTTCTTCCCAAAACCAATTTTTAATATTAACTTATGTGTTGTGTTTAATGTGTCTAAAATACTTTTAGAACAACCCCCCCCCCCCCAAGCTTATGATTCCGAAGGATAAAAGTGATTGAACAAAAGCATAGTACATTAATTTCATTTCACTTTCATTTAGAATCTCATTCAGCTGACCGATAGCATAGAGATGATAGCATAGATATATTTTCTAATTTTACTGTTTAAATATTGAATATGACTAGACCACTTAAGACGGTAATCAAAGACCACTCCTAAATATTTGAATTAATCTACTTTTTCAATAGATTTTCAATAGTTATGATTATTTAACTATGCAGGAATTCATTAGGAAATGCGTTTGTCAATGCTCTCTTAAGCAGTACAATAAATAACCATCAATAGTGGAAAAGGATTGGTCGTGCTTTTTTTAAACTGATTTTATTAAATTCTACATAACCGTGAGGGGGATGGATATAACAAGTACCTGATTGGTTTTCTTTTAACAATCAATCTAATCTTTATTCAGAACGTACATAACTGCACACGAATGCGTCATTGTTACCTTGTTGTTACATTGTTATACACACATAATGTTAAAAAATTAAAATAAATAGTCTACTCATAGTTTATAAAAATCCTCTTTACTATAAATAGAATTAATTATTAGAAATGTTTTCAATTTTCTTTTAAACATATTCATACTCAGCTCTCTCCTAATGCTTTCTGGGAGGTGGTTGATAAATTTGATACCAATATAATCTGGTCTTTGTTTAAATTTTTCTTTTTTATGCTTTTTAACTGTAAAATTTTGTTTGTTCCTTGTGTCATGCTCATGAATGTCCTGTTGTCGCTGTAATTTTGATTCATTTTTTTTCACATAACATGTAACTATGATATTTTAATATGGAACATGTTTTTTTCCCAGCTGAGTCGGAAGATGGACAGCTGGTCCGCCAACAACTCTCAGGGTTGACTCAACAGTTGAGACCTTACTCACTGACTCCGGAAGACAAAATTGAAGTGATTGGTTCTAAGATTTTAGACATAGAAGAAGTCTACAATTTGTGTCAAAGTCATTCTAAAAAGGAAACCCTTCTAACTCTTGGTCAGTTTTCAAATGAGACTAAACCAAGGACAATAGCAAAAACAGAGACAAAGACTGTCCCTGGTCGACTAGCAATTATTATGCCAGAAATGGGATGGGACTACGGTTCAACTTACAAATTTACCCTAATTACCAAAAGCCATGCAATTGAGCTGTTACCACTAGAGTGTGAATCACGTGATCTTACACCAGGAGTCCCTGTAGATAATACATATGAAGTGAGCTGTTCAGCAACAATAACAACTGAGTGGACCAACTTTGATGTGTATGAACCTGCGATAAACTTGTATTTCAGTAAGCATGTCAAGTTTGAAGAGAAGTTTGAGATTCCTCTGGCTGTTGATGGGAGAAACATAACCTTGAAGCCAAACACCAAGTACTCTGTCAAGATGAAGGTGGAAGGAGCTCACAATGTGAGTCACAGTAACACAGAGCCCAAAATCGAAGATGATCACTTGATTCTAAGAATATCTAAAGATAACCGTCGGTACTACTTTCCCTCAGACAAGTTGATGTACAGAGCAACAGCAGTGGAATAATGTCATTCTAGAAAACAATAGTTAAGGAGCTGTTGGGACTTAAATACCATTTGGGTGTGTGTGTGTGCAGAAAATGCATATCTTTTTAGTTTACTAGGATTTTCATTTAACTCTGATCGTTAAGGAATTATGTGCATTTTGTAAAATTCTTCTAATCAAAATTTAAATATTTGCAAATTCGGTTAAAAGTATATTTGGTTATGAGCATATAGTCTGTGTAATAAAGGGCAAAAATGTAATTTTCAACAGATTTTTTTAGTTTTATCCATGCTGCTGTAGAAGTGGATGCAAAGAATCTTGTCATTAAGTGGATTAAAATATATTATTGTTATTTGTCATGTGTATTGTGTATATATATGTGTACCATACCAATGATTAAAATAACATTTTAATAATAAAAATGATCAAAAATTTCAACTGAGAATTGATTATTTTAACCCGTTTCAGCCTCAAAGAATTGTTATGACAAAATTCAAAATAGTATATCTGTAATTGTTGTACATTAATATTAGTAAGTTAATATTAAGCAGTAAACTTCTTATCTTATAGTCTTTCATCATGGATTGTTGTTGGGAAGAAAAGGACTTAGTTAATCATATATGCTTACTGAGTATGAAATTGATATCAACACTAAACATAAATAATTCACTGATAATTAATTACTGTTAAAATGTCTAGAGGGTTCCTATGCTCTAACAGAAATAATAGACTTCCTTTGCTTCATATTGTATTTATAATGTAGTAACAAAGGCTTGGCTGGTTCAAATACTTGAGTCATTGAACCAATATAGATCAGCCTTTTTTTATATCTGCAGAACTATATTGAACTAATTCCATTACTCTGAATCTGTTAATAACAGGAAGGGTATCACAGATGGGAATTTTTGTTGTGCACATTGAGTGGGCTTCAGGGCCGATTTACCGAATAGGCACGGTAGGCACGTGCCTAGGGCGCGAGGCAATTGGCTTTTTTAGGGGGGCGCCAAAAATTTGGAAATTAAAAAAAATTCGTGGTAGTATTTGCATGATATCGCGGTAAACTTCTGATAACCACTCGCGGCCGTGTAGGCATCGTAATCGTCTCCCGCGTTTGCAGCAAGATTCTTACTATTTTCTGCAGTCAGGTCGTTTGGACATAAAATTATCATCTTCCATGATCGAGGCAATATAAGAACGTATCCCGCAGTCGTGAGGAGATTATTATAATCTACCGCAAATGAGGCAAAATTCTGATATTTTCCCGCGGTCGTGAGGACATTATCATCGTCTTCCGTGATCGCGGCAATATTCTGATCATCCCTCGTGGCCGTGTAGAAATAGTTATTATATCTCCCGCGGTCCTGTAGATATCGTACGTATCCCGCAGTCATGAATCCATGGTAATCGTCTCCAGCGATTGCGGCAAAATTTTAATCATGTCCTGCAGTTTTGTGGAGATCATCATCGTCTTCCACGATCGCGGCAAAGTTCATGAGGTTTCCCGCGGTCGTGTGGACATCAATCGTCTTCCGTGATTGTGGTAATATTCTGATCATCCGTTGCGGCTCATCTGTAGATAGTAGATACCATCATCATCTTCTGCGATCGCGGAAAATTCTGATCATCCCTCGCGGCCGTGTGTAGACATTTATTATTGTCTCCCGAGGTCACGGAAACGTCACTGTTGTCATGAGCGATCACGGTAAATTGAAAACTCCAGGTAGGAATACAAAATTCACGGTTCAAAGATCTCCCGCATGATTCCCGGATTTCCCGGTCGATATACACCCTGTTATATACAGGGTGGCTGAAAAGTAACTTGCACCCCCACTTAACTTTTCAACCATTTGAGATATTTGAAATCGGTTTGCGGCAACCTTCTTAGATATGACGGGCTACAATAATTATGGTCAATTTTGAAAATTTTGCCCTTAGGGGTAGCGGGGGTAGGGGATAGCTAAAAATTTTCCTATAGCAAGTATAGTCGAGTTTGGTATCATTTTGTAGGTCTTGATGAAACATAACAATTAACATAAAGAAAATAGAAATCGGACCATTAATAACAAAATGGCAGCTAAAAATGATTGAGACAATGGTTATTCAAAGTAGTTTTGCGCTGCCATTTTGTTATTAATGGTCCGATTTCTATTTTCTTTATGTTAATTGTTATGTTTCATCAAGACCTACAAAATGATACCAAACTCGACTATACTTGCTATTTGAAAATTTTTAGCTATCCCCTACCCCCGCTACCCCTAAGGGCAAAATTTTCAAAACTGACCGTGATTATTGTAGCCCTTCATTTCCAAACAAGTTGCCGCAAACCGATTTCAAATATCTCAAATAGTTAAAAAGTTAGGGAGGGTGCAAGTTAATTTGTTTGCCACCCTCATGGTTATTTGGATTTGAAACGTTTTAGGGCGCCATTTTGTTATTAGTGAGCCGATTTTGGTTTTCTTTATGTTGATGTTCATGTTTCGTCAAGACCTGTAAAATGATACCAAACTTGACTATACTTGTCATTTGAAAATTTTGAGCTGCCTCTTACCCCCGCTACCCCTAAGGGCAAAATTTTCAAAATTGACCATAATTATTGTAGCCCCTCATATCTAAGAAAGTTGCTGCAAACCGATTTCAAATATCTCAAATGGTTGAAAAGTTAAGTGGGGGTGCAAGTTACTTTTCAGCCACCCTGTATATATTGCAAAGGGGCGCTACTATTAGACGTGCCTAGGGCGCTGACAGGGTCAAAAACGGGCCTGGTGGGCTTAGGACGAGGAGTAGAATTTAAGCTGCCCTAGAGAGTACTAAATTTTTGCTTTTGTATTGTTTCTGTCCATCTCTTTGCCTGGAGTGACACACTAAAAATATTCCTATTCTTTACCCTTAGCTGTTTCCTTATTGTGCTGTTTTCATTGGTTTTCAGGTTTTCACAGGATGGTGTGGGTGTATCACTAGGGGAGATTGTATTCTTGGCATTCTCTTGCTGTATTATTTTACTTTAAATTGCTACCAAAGTGTTTGTTCTGTTTGTTCTTGGCGGGGTCTTCAGCTTAGCTAGCTCAAGTATCAGGGACAATGAGCTGTTTTGTCTAGGGAGCTCAGAGCTGAGGGTTTGAGATTCTGAATAGTTAAATGTTAAGGTGTTTTTTGCTTGGTAATTTTCTGAAATTGTATTTCTTGTTTGGTTCTTGATTGTTTTTTGTAGGTTCTTGCCTTCCTTTCTAGATTAAAAATTACATGATCTTTATCCTTGTCTTGATCTTCAACATTGTTGTTAGTTCAGCTCTGAGTTGCCTCTCTTTGACAACTCATGAGCTTTAATTCAGCTACATTTAAGGTTTTTGTTATTGAAGTTATTCAATTAAAATTTTTTTCTGTGTAGGAAATCATTGGAATAAGGATTAAATTGCTCTCTTAAGCAGTACAACATGTACATAAGCAATACAATAATCCACTATGTAAATAGTGGAATATGATTGGTAGTGTTTTTTTAGAATCAGATTTTATTAAATTCTACATAATCGTGAAGGGGATACATATAACGTGAGCTTGATTGGTTTTCTTTTAACTTGTAACTATTATATTTTAATCTGGAAAATGTTTTCCTCAGCTGAGTCAGAAGATGGACAGCTGGTCCGCCAACAACTCTCAGGGTTGACTCAACAGTTAAGACCTTACTCACTAACTCAGGAAGACATATTGAAAGTGATTGGTTCTGGGATTTTAAACATAGAAGAAGCCATCAATTTGTGTAATTGTCATTTTGAAAAGGAAACTCTTCTAACTCTTGATCAGTTTTCAAATGAGACTAAACCAAGGACAATGGCAAAGACTGTCTTTGATCAACTAGAAATTATTATGCCAGAAGTGTGGAATAGCTCCAATTTCATTTACAATTTTACCCTGACTACCAAAAGCCATGCAATTGAACTGTTATCACTAGAGTGTGAATCACGTGATCTTACACCAAGAGTCCCTGTAGATGAGACATATGAAGTGAGCTGTTCAGCAACAATAATAACTGAGTGGACCAACTTAGGTGTGTATGAACCTGCGATAAACTTGCATTTCAGTAAGCATGTCAAGCGTGGAGAGAAGTTTGTGATTCCTCTAACTGTTGATGGGAGAAACATAACCTTGAAGCCAAAAACCAAGTACTCTGTCAAGATGCAGGTGAATGGAGACCACAAGCACAGATACGGTAAAGAAGAGCCCAACATCGAAAATAATCACTTGGTTCTAAGTCTATCCAAGAAAAAAAATTGGTATGATTTCCCCTCAGACAAGTTGATGTACAGAGCAGTAGAATAATGGCATTCTAAAAAACAATAGTTAAGGAGTTGTTGGGATTTAAATTCCATTAAAGTGCAGAAAATTCATTTCTTTTTAGTTTACTAAGATTTTTTATTTAACTCTGATTGTTAAGAAATAATATGCATTTTGCAGAGCCGTCTTTATAAAATGCGAGGCCTGGGGCAATACATAATTGCGAGGCCTTGTTTAACCAAGCTGTCTGGGGGGTAAGGAGTATCCCCCATCTGAGGGGGGGGGGTCTGGGGGTCCCCCCCTTGGAAAATTTTTGTAAAATTATACTTGTAATCATTTTCATTTTGGTCATTTTAAGTACTTTGACGAAAAAAAAATAATATTTTACACTCTTAAAATGGGCGTGAATATTATTGCTAATTACACATATTATTTTTCTAATTCCAAAGTGGATATCATAAACATTGCACACAAAATTCTTTACATCATTAATTAAAAAAAATTAACACTTCTCCTTTACTGTGGATTGTGAATTGAATTAACACTTTGTAAATTAAACAAAGTGGCGGGATGACAATAATTAATAGTAAATGCTTATAGGCTATCTTGTTTATTTATTTTTTTGTCAAGTTAGGTTTATTGTGTTTTCGGCAGTTGGTCTGTGAAGGGTGTTTTAAAGTTAAAAAAATATTACATAAATAATTGTCAATGAGATACTTGCAAATTCGTCATTTCTTTTACACTCTGTAAATGGCCGTTAATATCATAGCTAATTGCACATATTATTGTTCCAATTCCAAAGTGAATATCATAAATATTATCCACGAAGTTCTTTACAAAAATTTATAAAAAAATGAACACTTCTCTTCACTGTGGATTGTCGTCCCGTCACTTTGTAAATAGTAAATGCTCATAGGCTAACTTGTTTATGTACTTTTTGTCAATATAGGTTTATTGTGTTTTCGTCAGTTGGTCTGTAATGGGGGGTTTAAAGGTAAAAAAATATTACCTATAATTGTCAACGAGTTTTTAATAATAAATTAAAAGAGGTAGTATCATTACAGTGTAATTGATTCACA